GGGGAGAGGGGGGGAGCAGGGGGGAGAGGGGAGGAGGGAGCAGGGGAGAGGGGGGGATGGAGCAGGGGAGAGGGGGGGGATGGAGCAGGGGAGAGAATGGAGCAGGAGCAGGGGAGAGCAGGGGAGGGAATGGAGCAGGGGAGGGAATGGAGCAGGGGAGGGAATGGAGCAGGGGAGGGAATGGAGCAGGGGAGGGGGGAGCAGGGGAGGGAATGGAGCAGGGGGGGAATGGAGCAGGGGAGGGAATGGGGCAGGGAGGGAATGGAGCAGGGGAGGGAATGGAGCAGGGGAGAGGGGGGGGATGGAGCAGGGGAGGGAGCAGGGGAGATGGAGCAGGGGAGAATGGGCAGGGGATGGAGCAGGGGAGGGGGGGGATGGAGCAGGGGAGAGGAATGGAGCAGGGGAGAGAATGGAGCAGGGGAGAGGAATGGAGCAGGGGAGGGAATGGAGGGGGAGGATGGAGCAGGGGAGGGAATGGGGCAGGGGCAGGGAATGGAGCAGGGGAGGGAATGGAGCAGGGGAGGGAATGGAGCAGGGGAGGGAATGGAGGAGCAGGGGAGCAGGGGAGGGAATGGAGCAGGGGAGGGAATGGAGCAGGGGAGGGAATGGGGCAGGGGGGGGGAATGGAGCAGGGGAGAGGGAGGGATGGAGCAGGGGAGAGGGGGGGGATGGAGCAGGGGAGGGGGGGATGGAGCAGGGGAGGGAGGGGAGCAGGGGAGGGAATGGAGCAGGGGGGAATGGAGCAGGGGAGAGGGAATGGAGCAGGGGAGGGAATGGAGCAGGGGAGAGGAATGGAGCAGGGGAGGGAATGGATGGAGCAGGGGAGAGGGGGGGATGGAGCAGGGGAGAGGGAATGGAGCAGGGGAGAGGGGGGGATGGAGCAGGGGAGGGGGGGGAGCAGGGGAGGGGGGGGATGGAGCAGGGGAGAGGGGGGGATGGAGCAGGGGAGGGGGGGGGGGGGGATGGAGCAGGGGAGGGGGGGGATGGAGCAGGGGAGAGGGGGGGATGGAGCAGGGGAGAGGGGAGGGATGGATGGAGCAGGGGAGAGGGGGGGATGGAGCAGGGGAGGGAATGGAGCAGGGGAGAGGGAATGGAGCAGGGGAGGGAATGGAGCAGGGGAGGGAATGGAGCAGGGGAGAGGGAATGGAGCAGGGGAGAGGAATGGAGCAGGGGAGGGAATGGAGCAGGGGAGAGGGGGGGGATGGAGCAGGGGAGAGGGAATGGAGCAGGGGAGAGGGGGGGGATGGAGCAGGGGAGGGAGGAGCAGGGGAGGGAATGGAGCAGGGGAGAGGGGGAGCAGGGGATGGAGCAGAGCAGAGGAGGGGATGGAGCAGGGGAGGGAATGGAGCAGGGGGGAATGGAGCAGGGGAGAGGGGGGGGGGGGGATGGAGCAGGGGAGAGGGGAGCAGGGGCAGGGAGCAGGAGCAGGGGGGGAATGGAGCAGGGGAGGGAATGGAGCAGGGGAGGGAGCAGAGCAGGGGAGGGGGGGATGGAGCAGGGGAGAGGAATGGAGCAGGGGAGGGGATGGAGCAGGGGAGGGAATGGAGCAGGGGAGAGGGGGGGATGGAGCAGGGGAGGGAGGAGCAGGGGAGGGATGGAGCAGGGGGGAGGGAGGGGAGCAGGGAGCAGGGGAGAGGGGGGGAGGAGCAGGGGGAGGGGGGGATGGAGCATGGAGCAGGGGGGGAATGGAGCAGGGGAGGGGGGGGGATGGAGCAGGGGAGAGGGGGGGATGGAGCAGGGGAGAGGGGGGGATGGAGCAGGGGAGAGGGGGGGAATGGAGCAGGGGAGGGGGGGGATGGAGCAGGGGAGAGGGGGGGATGGAGCAGGGGAGAGGGGGGGATGGAGCAGGGGAGAGGGGGGGGGAGCAGGGGAGGGGGGGGGGATGGAGCAGGGGAGGGAATGGAGCAGGGGAGAGGAATGGAGCAGGGGAGAGGGGGGGGATGGAGCAGGGGAGAGGGGGGAGCAGGAGCAGGGGAGAGGGGGGGCAGGAGCAGGGAATGGAGCAGGGGAGGGAATGGAGCAGGGGAGGGGGGGGGAGAGGAGCAGGGGAGCAGGGGAGGAGCAGGGGAGGGGGGGAGGGGATGGAGCAGGGGAGAGGGAGGGGGGGGAGCAGGGGAGCAGGGGAGGGGGGGGATGGAGCAGGGGAGGGGGGGGGATGGAGCAGGGGAGAGGGGGGGGGGATGGAGCAGGGGAGAGGGGGGGATGGAGCAGGGGAGAGGGGGGGGCAGGGAGCAGGGGGGGAGAGGGGGGGAATGGAGCAGGGGAGAGGGGGGGATGGAGCAGGGGAGAGGGGGGGATGGAGCAGGGGAGAGGGGGGGATGGAGCAGGGGAGAGGGGGGGGAGGGAATGGAGCAGGGGAGAGGGGGGGATGGAGGGAGGGGGGGAGCAGGGGGAGGGGGGGAGGGAGGGATGGAGAGGGGGGGAATGGAGCAGGGGAGAGAGGGGGGATGGAGCAGGGGAGAGGGGGGGGATGGAGCAGGGGAGAGGGGGGGGATGGAGCAGGGGAGGGGGGGGAGCAGGGGAGGGAGGGGAGGAGCAGGGGAGGGATGGAGCAGGGGAGAGGGGGGGATGGAGCAGGGGAGAGAATGGGATGGAGGGAGGGGGGGGATGGAGCAGGGGAGGGAATGGAGCAGGGGAGAGGGGGGGATGGAGCAGGGGAGAGGGGGGGATGGAGCAGGGGAGAGGGGGGGATGGAGCAGGGGAGAGAGGGGGGGATGGGCAGGGAATGGAGCAGGGGAGGGAATGGAGCAGGGGAGAGGGGGGGATGGAGCAGGGGAGAGGGGGGGATGGAGCAGGGGAGAGGGGGGGATGGAGCAGGGGAGGGGGGGGGCATGGGGGGGATGGAGCAGGAGAGGGGGGGGATGGAGCAGGGGAGGGAATGGAGCAGGGGAGGGGGGGGGATGGAGCAGGGGATGGAGCAGGGGAGGGAATGAGCAGGGGAGAGGGGGGGATGGAGCAGGGGAGAGGGGGGGCAGGAGCAGGGGAGAGGGGGGGATGGAGCAGGGGAGAGGGGGGGATGGAGCAGGGGAGAGGGGGGGATGGAGCAGGGGAGAGGGGGGGATGGAGCAGGGGAGAGGGGGGGAGGGAGCATGGGAGCAGGGGGGGATGGAGCAGGGGAGAGGGGGGGATGGAGCAGGGGAGGGGGGGGATGGAGCAGGGGAGAGGGGGGGATGGAGCAGGGGAGAGGGGGGGATGGAGCAGGGGAGAGAATGGAGCAGGGGAGGGATGGAGCAGGGGAGAGGGGGGGATGGAGCAGGGGAGAGGGGGGGATGGAGCAGGGGGGGGGGGGGGGGATGGAGCAGGGGAGAGGGGGGGATGGAGCAGGGGAGAGGGGGGGATGGAGCAGGGGAGAGGGGGGGATGGAGCAGGGGAGAGGGGGGGATGGAGCAGGGGAGGGGGGGGATGGAGCAGGGGAGAGGGGGGGATGGAGCAGGGGAGAGGGGGGGGGCAGATGGAGCAGGGGAGAGGGGGGGATGGAGCAGGGGAGAGGGGGGGATGGAGCAGGGGAGAGGGGGGGATGGAGCAGGGGAGAGGGGGGGATGGAGCAGGGGAGATGGAGCAGGGGATGGAGCAGGGGAGAGGGGGGGATGGAGCAGGGGAGAGGGGGGGATGGAGCAGGGGGAGAGGGGGGATGGAGCAGGGGAGAGGGGGGGATGGAGCAGGGGAGAGGGGGGGATGGAGCAGGGGAGAGGGGGGATGATGGAGCAGGGGAGAGGGGGGGATGGAGCAGGGGAGAGGGGGGGGATGGAGCAGGGGAGAGGGGGGGATGGAGCAGGGGAGAGGGGGGGATGGAGCAGGGGAGAGGGGGGGATGGAGCAGGGGAGAGGGGGGGATGGAGCAGGGGAGAGGGGGGGATGGAGCAGGGGAGAGGGGGGGATGGAGCAGGGGAGAGGGGGGGATGGAGCAGGGGAGAGGGGGGGATGGAGCAGGGGAGAGGGGGGGGGATGGAGCAGGGGAGAGGGGGGGGATGGAGCAGGGGAGAGGGGGGGATGGAGCAGGGGAGAGGGGGGGATGGAGCAGGGGAGAGGGGGGGATGGAGCAGGGGAGAGGGGGGATGGAGCAGGGGAGAGGGGGGATGGAGCAGGGGAGAGGGGGGATGGAGCAGGGGAGAGGGGGGATGGAGCAGGGGAGAGGGGGGATGGAGCAGGGGAGAGGGGGGATGGAGCAGGGGAGAGGGGGGATGGAGCAGGGGAGAGGGGGGATGGAGCAGGGGAGAGGGGGGATGGAGCAGGGGAGAGGGGGGATGGAGCAGGGGAGAGGGGGGATGGAGCAGGGGAGAGGGGGGATGGAGCAGGGGAGAGGGGGGATGGAGCAGGGGAGAGGGGGGATGGAGCAGGGGAGAGGGGGGATGGAGCAGGGGAGAGGGGGGATGGAGCAGGGGAGAGGGGGGATGGAGCAGGGGAGAGGGGGGATGGAGCAGGGGAGAGGGGGGATGGAGCAGGGGAGAGGGGGGATGGAGCAGGGGAGAGGGGGGATGGAGCAGGGGAGGGGGGATGGAGCAGGGGAGAGGGGGGATGGAGCAGGGGAGAGGGGGGATGGAGCAGGGGAGAGGGGGGATGGAGCAGGGGGGAGAGGGGGGATGGAGCAGGGGAGAGGGGGGATGGAGCAGGGGAGAGGGGGGATGGAGCAGGGGAGAGGGGGGATGGAGCAGGGGAGAGGGGGGATGGAGCAGGGGAGAGGGGGGATGGAGCAGGGGAGAGGGGGGATGGAGCAGGGGAGAGGGCGCTGGAGCAGGGGAGAGGGCGCTGGAGCAGGGGAGAGGGCGCTGGAGCAGGGGAGAGGGCGCTGGAGCAGGGGAGAGGGCGCTGGAGCAGGGGAGAGGGCGATGAAGCGGGAGAGGGGATCTCACAATAATAAGATCCAGTTTGGGAATTTTTCATTAGAATGAATAGTTTGTAAAAGATAACAGATTGATTACTCAAGCACAATAAATTATTATTAAAAAAAAATCCAAAAGATTTCGTAGAATAATGTAAACAATTTTAAAACTTTTATCATACCCCAATGAGTTCTTTCTTATTCAGTTTCTGGTTGACTTCTGGCTTGTTCTGGATGTTCTTAGCTCTGTGAGCATAATCTAATGTAGAGAGTGTTTCTTCCAAGTTAATGGAGGCTGGAGAAATTGTTGCAATAACCGAAGTCTTTGTTCGTCCACCAAGAGCATCTTGTAAAAGTCGAGTTAATTTAGATTCTCTGCAGTAAACAAAACATTCACCGATGATTAATTGAATAAATTAAGATTAAAAATGCACCTATTACATTAAACTAATTCAAAAACTGGAGTTAATAAGAATGAAAATGTTGAATCTTATTGCTAGATATATGATGTAAACATCCCAACAATGCTTAACAATGGATATATTAAGTTTTAACTTTAATATAGGTATAGGGCTAATATTATATAGGAGACTAATATTTTTTTTAACAATGGAAAAATTAGTTTATCATCTTTGGATTATAAATTCTGTTTCTGGTAACAAAGAAGAGAGGAGTGCCTGGGTACAATGAACATGATATAACAGAGGGACAATGCTGTTTTTGATGAAAAAGACCTGCCTGGCAAACTTAGAGTTCTATGGCAGGTCATCAAGAGATGACAGAAGGATGGGTAGACTGCATTTTCCTACAATGTCAAGATTGTGGGAAATCATTTATATTGTTCCTCACAAAAGACAAGTATATAAGATGGGGAGAAAGAGGCTGAGGTAACTTGGAAGGCAATGAACTAAGTGCTTACATCAGTGCCTATCAGTCACTACAAGAAGCAAGGTCTCTGTCTTTATGCCCTTGCACTATGTTCCTTCTCAGTTTTTTCTTACCTCATTAGCTCTGCAAAGATGGACATGTATACTCCCTCTGCTAGACAACTTGCATAGTTTAGGAATAGCAATGAGCCTAGGAAAATCTGATCCTTCAAGGACCTTGCTTACTACATCCTCCATTTGGTCTTTTGACAGTGATCTAGGAGCCACTGATTGTTGTGTTATGGCCATTTGCTCATTTATCATTTATTCAACAGCACTTAATATAACAAGACTTGTACAATCCAATACCTGTATGGAACATGAGGACCCTTTTCAACTAGTGCAGTGATAACTCGGCCCAGTGTCAGAAGAGACATGTTTATGTTGCCCGCTTCACGAGCCCGCTTGTCAACGGCACCTGAACGACCAATATTTTCTGACCCAGCCAAGTCAACCAAGTGTAGTTTACCAGTCTGTTGAAAAAAATTATGAATATAGCAACTATGGTATTAATTGGTAAAAAGCCTATTTATCCAAATACTGTATTTTAATATCATAGGCAACAAAGAAATCACACATTTCTCCCATTCATGACTAAGGAGGCCTAAGCCTGCAGTTTTTTTAATGGTAAAAGAAGGTTAGTTAACACAATGAGCAAACATTAAAAACATCACCCATCTATTAATTCTACCACTGACCATACAACTATCACAAACAAAAACCAGCATATAATAACTCTTGTAATCTTGCAAATTGTCTACCTTGTAATATACAAATACATCATACCCCTTCTAACAAATAGCTTGATTAAGCAAGGATTTTATTGCACCTAACAGTTACCACCTCTAGCCAACCCTACTTAAATTTGTTTTGCACATTTCTCTGTGCAAAAGAGTAATGTACAATTGTAGGGACAGATGTTACACATACTAATGAAGTCACTAATACATAAAGCATTTCGGGAAATACATTTTAATAGTTTCTTCTATGTCTCTTGTAATCTTTTCATCCTTTAACATTCTTCCATACTCATTTTAACTTGTTTACCTATCCATAAGTTTTCTTGAAGCACTTCTTTCCAAAAGAAGCTTCCCGCTTTCAAAATACTTTTAAAATTTATCCTCCTCATTCTTTTTTTTTTTGGGGGGGGGGGTTGCTTAATTAATCGTTACACATACACTTTGCTCGCAACACATTCCCATTTTCAAGTTTAGCTCATATTCACTCGGTAAAATACACTTCTCTACCTATCAACTGTTTTTGTCAATTCCTCAAACCATCAAGTACACTTCTCACATTTTCTACCAGTGAGCAACTTCACACATTTCCTGGGTCGTTTTAACCTAGCACTGCTTGTATACATCCCACATGTCACCAAGATTCATTTATTCTTAAATCTCTCTAAGATCACTTTCACTTTACTTCTCAACTCATTTTTTTTTTAACCTCTTGCATATCCATTCTAGAAGAATGAGCAACCATTCACCACTTTATCTCATCACACACAGTACCAATATGTAAATCAGAAAAACCTCCAGATATTCCTCTGCTCTCAAATCACTCTCATTCAGGCATATTACTATCAACAAGCATACACATATCCTTACACACGTATAATTAATACACAACTCGTCGCATAATTCTTTTAATCAAAAGCCTTTATCATTTAATTCTGGGACACCATTACAAGCCATTATGTCATTATTATGGCTTATTCCCACTTTACCATTCAGAAGGCCCATTAGAATTATTTTTTTATGGGCAGGTACCATTATTATCTCATTTGCTTAGATACTACAAAATAAACTGTCATCCTCACTTCTGCAAATGCAATAACAATCATAAGTCTTTCAAATCTGAATTTCACACACAAACACACTGAATTACAGCAAGTTATTCATTGTGCATACAGGTACTAGCCTTTGTTGAATAACAAACACTTTCCTTCTCTCATTTTCCTTCACTTCTGTTCTTATAAACTTCATTCATTTTTTGTCTTGCATTAGCCAAGCACACTTAACTTTCCACTTTTTCAAACTTTCACCACTTCAAAATTTTCTACTCCAGATTTATTCAACATATTCAGCACAAACCTCGTATTGCTTTCTAGGGCATCAGCAGGTGCTGATCCGATTCAAAACTACACGTATTTTCACCATTAGTGGAAAGAAATTCTGTGGTGGATCCCCAGCCAAATACCCCCCTCCCCACCCCTATAGTTTGTAAGGACTGAGAGGCTGACGGTGTCAAATAAATTACCAACAAAAGCTTCCTGAGGTTGTCACTTAAAACAAGGTTATTGGGAACATTTACTGATATAGCATACATCAGCAAAACTTTTGTATATATATATGTACAGTATTGTTTTGACACCAAATAGAGGTAAATCACAACCCTCCCCCCTCCCTCCCCACCACAAGTTTAATAATTTATTAAATAATCGATTAAATTTGTACACACAAAATGTCACTAAGCAATTGTACTGCCCACTATTAATAATAAAATTTGTCAATACATAAATATTTCAAGTCAGTACTGTACAAAGGTTTCTCAAGATAATGCATAAAAACCACTTCAGAAAAATACATGATAATAAAAAACCATGTCAAAAGTTTTATAAACAAACTTAACATTTACACAAAATATTGAAGATCTTGTATTCATATAACTAAGCAAAATACTGTACAATGTAGTATTATATTAGCCTGAAAAAAATAATTGTCTATATTTACCTTGAGAAGTTCATCTCCATCTAATGTATTTTCTTTTATGTGTATGGTAACTGTAAACACAGTGTGAGAACGACTGGAATGTGCATTCATAAGTGTACATGCAGTTTGACGCTTGGCTGAACCTTTCTCCAAAACACTGTATACATCTGATTTAGAACGCACCAGAACCTCTTCCAACCCCTGAATAATGCAAGAACCTTTTCGTGAAGCATCCTCATACAACCTGGAATATTAAAGTAGAAAATATAATTGAAACTAGATATACAGTATAGTATTTAGATACAAGCTGACCAAATGAGGCATTCCTAGGCCATAGCTTGTCACAATAAGTGATATAATGAATATGGGTTTTGTAATAATTTCAGGGTGAATATGTTTACCTAGCTGCTGTATCTGGATGTTACAATACTTCATCATACTTGCTCTCCAAACTGTGAAAGGTGGTTGCTTCCACCTTCTGGCTTAAGACAATTTAACTGTTTACCACTTTTACTGCATTTGAGCATTTCCTTATATTCCTATCGCTCATCTGTGTTTGCAATTTCAACCTGTGCCCCATGTTCTACTGTCTATTCCCCCTACGTTTCAAACTAAAATACTTTGGAACTCCAAGAGGGCAATTTGCTTACTTTTACTTCAGTTCCATTTAACACCAGTCTACAGAAAGTTAAGTTTAGCCCCCTTTTTTATTGGTAAAATTGGTCTAATTCTTTGGAGGAAGTTTTGCTCAAGGAAGCAGCCGAGTGGTATAGCTCAGAAATTTAGCAAGACAGTATAATCTCCAAAATTAACAACTATAAAAAATAAATCTAAATAGATTTTGCTATCAGATCCATCCAAAATTCGGATTTAGACAAGGATTTATTAACATTCCGTGTGAAATATGAATCATTGCCTTATAGTAATTTCCCATAAACAGTATAATTTTACTTGCTCATTTTTTTTTTACCATTCTTGTACTTGGTAAAATATGGAAATTCAAATTTTGCTTTGCTAGAAATGCTGTACAGCACAGTAATAATGCATATGTACATTTCTCAGCTAACTTTCAATACAGTACTTTAGTCAGTCTGTATCCACTTATTTCCTAAATATATAAATAACAAAAAATTACACACACAGTAATGATGAACTATGTTGCTAGCTCATCAGTGCAGTCACATAATTCCCCAGCATAGCAGCTGTAAACTGCCTCTTCCTTCTTATCTTTGTTTATTCATCACTGCATACCGCATATTATGACCAGTATGGAGTTCAACCCAGATGAACGTCTGGACACCACCACCAGTACACCCTCCACCCAACCCAAGAGCCCCAGGCAGGTGCGTGGCTGTAAGACCCGCCGGTTTCTTGTTATTTCTAGGTAACCGCCGGTTACGCCGCCGGCTCCTCGCTCAAGCCTCAGTGACAAAGGTTGTGACATCATCAATGGGGGTATAAATACCCCATGACATTGGTCACCTCGGCAGTTTATCTCCGGTGCTCAGGGAATCAACATTACGGCCTCAGCGTGACGCTTGCCTACAGCTGCTTCGCATCTAGGTTGTAATTGTTCTCGTAAATATTTGTCACCCTTATTTTTGTGTTAGTAAGTTTATACAATGGGGGCCTCGACTTACGATGTTAATCCGTTCCCAGAGACGGATCGTAAGTCGAAATATCATAAGTCGAAGCAGCTTTTCCCATAAGAAATAAAGGGAATTGAATTAATCCGTTCCCCACCCTCCAAAATATTAACATACAAATACATTTTATACTGAATACAATGTTTTTTCTAACTACAATACAGTACCTAAGTTTCTCTTAGAAGAAGGGGAGTCCCCTTCCATTATCAGATCAGGCAGTGATGTTTTCTCTGGGAAACACACACTCCTACGTTTTGCCTGAACACCACTAGGACCTGGTTGTGGTTCAGTGCTTGTTTGTCTCACTACAAATTTGTCAAGAGACATTTGTTTTTCCCTTCGTTTTAACATTTGTCTGTAAAGATGCATCACAGTGTCATTGAATATGTTAAGGCAACGACCTACTGCAGCTTGATTTGGGCGAGTCGTTTCAGCAAAGGTTTGCAATTCTTCCCATGCTGCACACATTTTCTTAATTGTTGAGGAAGAGACATTCTGTACTCTTGTTTCTGCTCTATGGTCATCCTTACATGGGTTTTCATACGTTGAGTCTTACCACTGACTTTCCTGGGACTCATGGCGTGATATATAACAATTACTTTAATGTTCAAAATGCAAAAAATCACCACAAAAGCGGAATTTCTTATAGGCGCGATCGTCACTAAGCGGGCAGCTGTAGTAAACTGAGGCAGGTCGGCCCCGTGACCGGGAACCACGCGCTTGGTCGACCCGAACGTATACCAACAAATATCGGAAGTCGACGACATCATCGGATGTCGAGTCGCATTTTTCGATGAAATTTACATCGTAACTCAAAATTATCCTAAGTAGGGGCAATCGTATGTCGAGGTGCCACTGTACATATTTCTCTTGTATGCTACCCAAGTATGTCCTATCAAGGTTTTTTGGTATTTTCCTTTTTATCATTTTGATATTAGAGTAAAGTGTATTAAATTTTGGGCTGCATATTCCTTCACTCCTGTGCAATTTTCACACTGCAAAGGCCAATGCAGCAATTTTTTGTATTTATTTAATATAAAGTGTGTGCGCCACATTCCATTACTACCGAGTCACGTCACAACTGTAACCAAGTTGAGTATGGGGGGTGCATAATAAATACCTGGTAAACAAAAACAAAAAAAGGTACAGTAATAGTAGTAAACATGTTTTCCTATACTTTCAACCTATAGACTGTCATTTCTGAGACTCCATTACCACCCATTACAGGTATGTCATTTTCAGGGTCTATTTCCATCTACCATTCAGATCATCAATTAAACAACCCGTTCTCTTAAAATTCCGTCGCTTTTCGCTCGTGTGCCCGTATGGCCAAAAATGAACGTAATTTGAAATGAAATCAGCTCATGAAAATGACGTACTGTACCATTTTCTATTTTGAGTCCTTCGGCTTAATCGGGTTAGGTTAGGAGAGGAAACTTTCAATTAATGGTTTTTATGACGTTTTGAAACCTCTGGAGAACTTGAATATTTGAATATTATTTGATTTGATATTATTTGCAAGATTTGAATATTAGTTTGAGCCAAGACCCAGTACACATGATCGATAATTAGTATTTCTCAACATACCAATACTGTGCATACTATGAACTATGCAATATATAAATACTTTTGGCTGCTATAATTTATGCATCCTCAAAACTGATTATTATTGTATTAACTGAAAAAAAATTTATTTACATGCAATAAAATTTGTCAGCATTAATTTAAATTTTTAATGTAACTGTTTATAATTTGATTACCTGAAGTCATAAGGCAACTAAATATTAGGGGGTAAGACACTGTTCCTTATAAAATTAACATTGAAGTTCTGAAAAAACTTTAAAAACTTTACCTGAGTTTAGACATATCATCATGAGCAGACAATAGATCAAACAGTTCCTCATTGTAGAGCTCAAGAAACGAGACCCTCATAGTGAACTCCAATTTCTGCATTCGCAATTCATCAAACAAGTGGGTGACACAGCGTGGTATGATTCCTGCCAAAGGGTCCTGGAACAATGATGTTAATAAAGTATATATGGAGCTACATGCACTGTATTATGTACAGTAAGTATACATCATCTTTTAGCGATTTAACTGAATTAATGGAAGGAATATCACTACACCAAAGAGTGAGCAGATTACTGGGTGGTGTCTTTTCTCAGAAGTACTTCTGAGAGCATGCCCAACCACTCGGGTTGGGTGGTAGAGTGAGTGACCGTCTTCACGCAAGTCTGCATTCAATCCACAACCATCCAAGTGGTTGGGCACTATTTCCCCCCCCCCCCTCCCTGCTCCCCTCCCAAATCCTTATTCTGATTCCTTCCAAGTGCTATATAGTCATAAAGGCTTGGCATTTTCTCCTGATAGCTCCCTTTCCATTAGATTATCATGGATCAGTTGGTAATACTTGTGCCTAGAAACAAGAAGAAACTAACAAACTCCTTTAAATTATTCCAAGTTTCAGTACTGCAGCATAAATAAAAAGGGAGATTTTTTATTTTGTTTATTTTTTCAACGAATTTTACACATTTTTAAGTGTAAATAAACACACCTTTCAAATATAATCATTCTATGACACTTTTCTGACACATTAGCATATAATAAAGGATCCAGAGTTAGGGAGTTTCCAAAACATCTTTAATTTTCCTAATACTGTACAAATATTCAAAGTTCCCCCCAAAAAGTATGCAAATATGTCATGTTTATTGCTATTATAAAATCAATAAATGAACTTAGGAAAAAATGCTTTCTGTGGGATTTTCGAGACAAACTTTACATATAAGGTGTAATTTTCATGTAAATTGAATAAAAAAAATGAGAGTTATTTGAACGTTTATGTTAGTTGAGAATATTGAAAATAAATAAGAAAATAATAAAGTCTAAGGTGCTGCCGTCTGTGGCTGAGGTTGACATCGACCAGTTTCCTCCAAAATTGGCACCCTTACAGATAGGCTTATGTGCAGTCAGGTGTACAGTCAGGTGTACAAGTTTCATGCAAATTGTCCGATAAATTAAAAAAATATATATATAAATTTTTTTTAACTTAAATTATTTTTCTAATAAAACTAATTATAATATTTTTTAATATATGCTATTGTGATAGCTGAGTCATAGATATGATTTCAGTTGACACTTGTGTTTGATAATCGTTTTTGACCATTTTGGAATAATTTTAACACCTACTTCACTATTTTTTTTTCTCCCTTCCTATTTATGCTACGATGCTGAGACTTGGACCAGATGAAACCCTTTTCATATACAACTAGTCAAAAAAGTTTGAATTCAAACTAGTTTTCATTTAATGCATTTTTTTTGGAAATCTGGAGCCCTTGCCCTCTTAATGTTTGTTACTTTATTTGCTAATTACTGTACTGTACTTATTATTTTAGAACTACATTATTTTTTAAGAGAAAGTGGAAGGCATATAAATTCCAAAACATGTTATTAATGCACTGGACAGGACAAAAAAATCCTCAAAGCATTTAAAAAATTTAATCCATCTATAATTATGCAGCATACTTAAAACACTTACCTCATCCCATGACACATTATCAGGAGTACGTTCTCCCTCCATCGTGAAGGTCTTTCCGGTCCCTGTTTGGCCATATGCAAAGATTGTGCAGTTGAAACCACTGAGAACTTCTTCAACACAGTTCTTTGCAACAGATTTATACACATCAACCTGAAGTAAGATCATTTGTGGCTCATTAGTATGATTCAGAATTTTTGTTTACCTCCTTAACCTTTACCCTACAAGATTTACTTCACAAAAAAAAAATAAAAAAATATATAATTCAATAAATAAATTACTTACTGTATATTCATATTGTCCAAATGCTACAATTTGAAAATACACAAAGTCCATCATTATTATGGGTACTGCATTATTAATTTTATTGTTATTAGTATTTTATTAGTATTGGTTGGCTATGTTTTACTTATGTATTATGAAGCAGATGCTGTTCATTCATGAAACTCAAATACAGTACAAAGAAAAAGTTTATAAAACTACAACACCTGTTTTGATTCTGGGCCAAAAACTCTGTCAAAAGTGAAGGTCTTTGCAAATTTGTCTGCTACTCTTTCACGAATAATTACTTCTTTGCTGTTTTGACACTCAACAATACCAAAGGATTTACTGTTTTTCTCTGTAGAATTCATAGGCCTGTAAATACAAGAAATTAAACCATTACAGAAATACAAAAATGCCTTTCCTCCTAATCAAGCACCATAAGTTATCTACAAATGAACTCTTACCCCTCAACTCCTCATGACTGCACAGCAACCTTTTCTCTGCCTCTCCATAAACACTTGTTCCCTTCACCATGAATGTACATGCAAGGCACCCTCCTCTCCATAAATGCATATTTCAGCCTATCTTACTCATTCACCAAATTTAGTACATATTATTTTCCCTAACGAATTCATTGGCCTGTCAATAAAATTTTAAAATAAAATAGGTCACTTTCTTCCTTATGTAACCTTCCAAGACATTTATGCATGCTAAACACACCATGCTACATAACCACAAATAGCAGATCTTAACGATCAGTGATTTCCAAGGAACAAGCCACAGAACAAGGAGCTTGATGTTGATGCCAGCATGCCAGTATTTGAATGCTGGCATCAACATACACTGGGAGGGACTGAAGTGTACTCTCAGGGTAAAGTATACACAGTGTAGATCAATACACAAACAATGTATATAGTGATCTGCAAGGGTTACCAGTCAAGGAATACGAAACACACACATTACAATATAACTTGCATAATGACATTGGTGTGGCTAGTTAAGGCCCTATTGACAGTAAATAATTGTGCCTCGGAACTGACCTACACCAATGATATTAAGATTAGTGCTTTCTAGAGTGGAATATTGCTGCACACTAACAACCACATTCAAAGGTAGAGAAATTGCTGACCTGGAGAGCATACAAAGATCTTTTACTGCTAGAATCCACAATAAAACAATATAGTCCACTTAAAAATTTTAAATTTATATTCCCTCGAGGGCAGACAGGAGACACACAATTTTATATTCCAGTATGTGTACTGCAGTAGGGTTCATTCTTGGCTTACAATCAAGAATTCCGGGTTAGAATTCTGGGTGGGACAAATGGCTGGATGCATTTCCTACCACCTAATGCCCCTATCCACCTAGCAGTAAATAGGTACCCACGAGTTAGTAAGATTGATGTGGGGGTTGCATCCTTGGATGCAAAGATGATTTGCTTGTTTGGACTTGTTTGGCAAAGATGATTAGTCAATTTATAATTTAACATTATGTTCAGGTTGTGTTAAACAGTTAATGAAATTGTTAGATCAAGTTAGTTTGATGTGATTGGGAGCAACCCGTCCAGATACAGTGCACCCCGTTTGGATTACTGTATCCAAGCATGAAGATTCATCTTCAGGAAAGATATGGCTGCTTTGGGGAAAGTTCACCAGGCAACAACAATCATTCCAGAACCAAGTCAACTCTCAAACAAGGATTGGTTTAGGGGCCACAGAGCTAATAACACTGCATACTAGGGGCCACAGGGCTAGTAACACTACATACTAGGCCAGTACATAACACACAAGCATTTCCCTCAATGTATCTGAGGGGTCACTAACACACTAGTGGCCTCAATGAGGACAGGAAGCTTGTCAATTGCCCAAAATGCTGTGCAAAAGTGGCTTTAGGTCTAGTATGTACTTACTCTGCTTAGAAATCCAACATGCATATATATATCTCATTTTGTATGTATGTATGTATTATTATTATTATTATTATATTAAATGCCCCCCCCCCTCAATTTGTCCTGATGATCTTTTCAAGCTGGATTTTAAAATTCAACAAAGTTTTGGTTTACAGAATTTAGTGCAGACTATGGAGGTGCGTGTCCGCCCACTACCCTGACGTGCGCCCACTGCTTGGTCGCGCCCACTGCTTGGTCACGCCCAGGCTTACCTTGACCTTATAATATACACACAATAATATACTCTACAGTACTGGGCACGCTGACCAGCCTCCAAACTGGCAACGCCGAGGCTATATGTTGGTTATTTACCTAACTCTGACGAACACCCTGATGTTCTGCCCGCTTCCAACCTTCCGGCCATTCTTCCTGGGTAACGACGGGCTCGACATTGTCGCTACAAAGCCCTCAAATCAACAAAGAAACACGTAAAACTGGACTAAGATTCCTTCGAGGCCCAGCAAAGCACAGTTTAAACTGACTACCACGGAGTGTTGACGAGCGTGTTTGAGTTAGCCAATCACAGCCCGACTGTCCAGCGATGCTGCCAGCTGATTGGTGCATGCCTGGCAGTACAGGGATACAGGCCTATCATTGACTTTCTATTTATTTATTTATGTATTATTTATTTACTTATATACAAGAAAATACATTGGGTTGCGAGAGTAGATAACATTAGTATTTTAACATTCTTGAAAAGCCATTAACGTGCGTAGCGTTTCGGGCAGACAATCATGTTTATGTTTATAAATGTTTTTACCCTGATCTTTATTTATAAGACTATGGTTATAATTATAGTTTAATTTTAGTGGCATTATTAAAAATAAAATGTAATATAATTAACGTATTGCATGGTATAAGCTACGGTGAGTCGAACCTAGGCTAAAGCGCTTGTGAATTATTTTATTTTTATTTTATTTTATTTATGCATATACAAGAATGTACATAAGGAATGTGAGGATACAAATATGGTAATTACAGTCTTGTAAAGCCACTAGCACGCGCAGCGTTTCGGGCAGGTCCTTAATCTAAGAAAATTTTAAGGAGGTAAATACTTGCAAAATTTATAGACAAAAAATTATAACAGATTACATGGAATGAAAAAAAAAAAAGATGAGAGAAAATTATAGGTACAGTATATTAAAGCACATAGGTAGCTATGATTGATTGCAATGACAGCTTAAAATGGTAGTTGACAACAAATTGGTAGGCACAATACAGCAGAAACAATATAAGATTGATTGCAATGACAGCTTGAATGGTAGTTGACAAAAATTGGTAGTCACAATACAGCATATGGCTAGCACATAAAAGAAGACAGCAATGAACACAATGATAAGGTTGTTTGATATTACATAAAAATTAGGAGATTGGGTAACACTAGGTACAGAGCAAATTTAAAGCTCAGTGTAGGAAACTAAATAGATGAAGTTAGGTACTTTTTGGTTTTGCTTTTAAATAAGGCAAAAGTTTTACAGTTTTTCAATTCACTAGGGAGTGAGTTCCATAGACTAGGTCCCTTAATTTGCATAGAGTGTTTACACAGATTAAGTTTGACCCTGGGGATATCAAAGAGATATTTATTTCTGGTGTGGTGATAATGGGTCCTATTACATCTGTCCAGGGAGAGTTTCAGAGCATGGTTTGCATTTAAGAACAGGGTTTTGTAAATGTAGTTGACACAAGAGAATGTGTGGAGGGAGTTAATATTTAGCAAGTTTAGGGATTTAAACAAGGGAGCTGAGTGTTGTCTGACAGCAGAGTTAGTTATTATTCTGATAGCAGATTTTTGCTGTGTGATGATGGGCTTAAGGTGGTTTGCAGTGGTAGACCCCCATGCACAGATACCATAATTAAGATAGGGGTAGATTAGTGCATAATATAGTGAGAGGAGAGCAGAGTTAGGAACATAATATCTGATTTTGGAGAGTATACCAACTGTCTTAGAGACTTTCTTAGTTATGTGTTGAATGTGGGTGCTGAAGTTGAGTCTCTTGTCTAGGAATAGGCCAAGAAACTTGCCATCATTTTTATTACTGATGTTAATGTTGTCTATCTGTAGCTGAATTGCATTTGATGATTTGCTTCCAAATAAGATGTAGTAAGTCTTTTCGATGTTTAATGTTAGTTTGTTCGTTGACATCCATAAGTGGACTTTTTTTAATTCATTATTCACAACATTATTTAGTGTATGTGGGTTGAGGTTTGAGTAGATAAGGGTAGTATCGTCAGCAAACAATATAGGTTTGAGAATATTAGAGACATTAGGCAGATCGTTTATATATATAAGAAATAGAAGAGGTCCTAAGATGCTGCCCTGTGGCACTCCAACGGTAATTGGTAGAGTGGAAGAAGTTGTATCATTGATGGTTACATATTGGTGTCTGTCACTAAGATAGGATCGGATGTAGTCAAGGGCAAGGCCTCGGATTCCATAATGCTGGAGTTTAAGTAAGAGGTAGTTGTGATTAACAGTATCAAAGGCTTTTCTTAGGTCAATGAAGAGTCCAATCGGAAACTCATTTTTGTCAAGGGCTGAGTATATAATGTCAAGGAGACTAATGATTGCATCATTGGTACTCTTTTGGGACCGGAAGCCAAACTGGCAGGGGCTGAGTATGTCGAATTTTACAAGGTAGGAATAGAGCTGTTTGTAAATAATTTTTTCAAATATTTTTGATAGAATGGGTAAATTTGATATTGGTCTATAATTGTTTATGTCCGCCGGATTGCCTCCTTTATAGACTGGCGTTACTCTTGCTTTTTTGAGGATATCAGGGAAGGTGTGATACTCTATAGATTTGTTGAACAGTAGTGCTATGGGTGGGGCAAGGGCATGGGAGGCTCTCTTGTACACAATGGACGGAATTTCACTGGTGTTCCCTGCCTTGGTTTTTAGAGAATGTATGATGGACACAACATCTGCCGGGCTGATTGGTGAAAGGAGAAGAGAGTTTGGATAGCTGCCTGAGAGATATGTGTTGATATGTGTCTGAGTCTGTGGGATTTTACTGGCAAGATTAGCACCAACCGATGAAAAGAAACTATTAAATTCATTTGCCATTTCTAAGTCAGTTGACGGTATACCCCCATCCTTGTAGAGTTTTATTTGGTTATGTGAGTGTTGTTTAGTTCCTAGGATACTAGAGATAGTTTTCCAAGTGCTTTTCATGTTGCCTTTTGCTTCATTGAATCTATTCACATAATATGCAAGTTTTGCCTTTCTTATGATACTGGTAAGCATTGATGAGTACCTTTTAGCTACTTCCTTTGAAACTAGGCCAATCCTAACTTTCTTTTCATATTCATGTTTCTTGTTGATTGAGTTGAGAATGCCACTTGTGAGCCATGGATTGTTTAATCTTTTGTCAGTTACTTGCTTGGTAAGAAGGGGACAATGAATGTTGTAGAGGCTTAGAGTTTTGGAAATGAAGAGGTTAGCTAATGAATTTATATCATGGGTATTATTGAATTCAGAATCCCAGTTAATATTGTAAAGTGCCTCTGTAAGATTGTCTAAAGCTGATTCACTGTGTAGCCTAAATGAAAGTTTCTTGCTTTTTGGTGGTGTTATGTCCATGTTCGCTATGAGAAAGGTAGGATAGTGGTCAGTTGTTCTGTCGTAGATTATACCAGATACAAGGGGAGCTGTTATGTTTGTCCATATGTGGTCCAAGGTAGTGGCTGATGTTTGAGTGACTCGGGTAGGTTTGGTGATTGTGGGGATTAGCATACAGGAGTTCATGCTGTTAAGGAAATAGTCAACTTGAGAGCAATTTTGTTGACCCAGGTCAATATTAAAGTCTCCTCCCAGAATGATGTGGTTTTTGTTGAGATTGTTGTTTATAATAAGATTCCTTAGGTTGTCTGAGAAAGAAGCTATGTTAGTATTGGGAAATCTATAGATGGCTCCAATAGTCAAAGAAGATTTAAGGGATTTAATTGTAAACTGAGCAAAAGTATATTCACAGTAGTCATCTCTGTCACTAATAACACTGTTGCAGATAAATGTATCTCGGTAATATATAGCTGTGCCACCACCTTTTTTATTAGGCCTACAGTTATGAATGGCTTTATAACCAGCTAAGTTGTAGAGTTGGGTATAGTCTTTATTTAGCCAAGTTTCTGTTAAAATAATGAACGATAGGTTAGTACCTATTGCTGTGAGTAGTGCATTTAAATCGTCAAAATGTTTACCAAGTGATCTAACATTTTGGTTATAAACTGATAGACAGGTGCTATTTTGAAGTTTGTTTTTAGCCTGGTGTGCTGTGAAATACTTGCAATAATGATGATCAATGTGCTGGTTGGTATAGATATGAGACAGAAGATTTTGATCAGGATCAATATCAGTGTGCATAGGATGCAGAGGGATCACGATACAAGATACACGATAAAGCAAAACACAAGAATAAGAGCAAATACAATAAAATAGTAACAATTTAGAAGTAAAATAAAGATCCAATAGATAGCCAGGGAGGACACAGAAGTTACATAAAATAAATAAACAAAAAATCAGTAGAGACTGACAATATAAATGTAAAATAAAAAATAATAAGAAAAATGATAATCATAAAAAAAAAATGATCTTGAAGATAATTAGCTTAGTAATGGTTAATTAACAGGGTAATAAAAAGCCCTAGGTTTAGTGACAAGGGGATTAACTAAGAACAAATAATTAAGAGTATAAAACAGGCAAAGATGACAAAAAAAAAATAAAAAATAAAACAATAAAAATAAAAATAAACACCTTTGGAAAGGAAAGGCAGAGCTTAAGTACACTTTGGTTGTATGTGAGACTACAAATTAAGTTCTGGTTATTCAGCTGATATCCCACAGTCATCCAGGAAAGAAGTGAGGATTCAATTTCTTTCTTTATTATGCACCCCATACCCATCCCGTGGGCGGTGGTGTAAAGGATTACAGAGGTACATAATCGGTTCAGGAACTGAACCCTCTAGTTCGTTTAGCTAAGCAAATAACAATGTTTGACGCTAGTTACAAAATTATCAATGTTGTATACACATGTACACACCCTCATACATACATGTACATATATATATATACGTATACACATATACATACACATACATATCTAATCACCCACACAAATACACACATCAATAATCTTTGTGTCATAAGTGACACAAAAGAGGTGTCACAAGTGACATTACAAGAGGCTCACAACAGTCACTATACGAGGCACTTTACATCTATAGTGAGTCACACAGTTACTAGTCTTGCTCCACACCCACCCAACTGGGCGGCAGCTTTACAGTCATGTACATGCATTACCTACAGTAAGCAAATTTTCGATACTTCGCTAAAATTTCGGGCAGCACATCATTATGAATGAAGTACTTACACATTTCTTGGACACTATTGATGGTGTTATCTCTAAATTCCGCAATTTTTTCACATTCTATTATATAATTATATATTATATTATTATTATATATTATATTATATTCATTATATAATGACGCAAAGTATGCGAATAGTTCTGCTGACAGAGTTTACATTTAGTCAAATCTACATCAGCAGATGTTACAAACTCCCAGAGGTACTTGTAGCCGAGCCTAAGCCTAGCAGTGGTAACATCTAGAAGTCTGCTAATATTATTGGATGACCCATAGACGTGCGGTTCTTCATGCATAATAGAATGATGATAGATGGAGTAACTGGTGTGAATTTCACTTTGCCTCAAGTCTCCGAAATTTAGTTGATGTTCCTGGGATATTGCTGCCCTCAGGCTGCTCAAAGGCAGTCCAAGTTGGTAATCAATTCCCTCTTTACGAGCAAAAGTCTTGGCTAGCTCATCAGTTCTATCATGCATTCGGAGACCAATATGGGAAGGAATCCACAGGAGACAAACTCTGACTCCATCATTGATTATTTCACTATATCTGTGTCTAGCTTCAGAGATAAGCACGTCACAGTTATGCCCTAGGGAGCTGAGGGCAGTCAAGGATGACAAGGAGTCACTTACAATTAGCGTGTCAACTTTGGATTCATATACGAGCTCTAGTGCAAGGATTATGGCAACCAATTCGGTTTGAAGAGTGGAGGCCCAGTTACGTAGACGCGCTCCACACTCATGGGAGAAGGAACCACCTCTCCCTGTCACAACTGCACTTCCAGCTGCACCATAGGACTGATGCAAGGATCCATCAGTGTAAATAATCTGGAAAAGGGAGCGCTCTCTGACTAAAGTATCAATTTGGCTTAAGGCATTATACTTTGCTTCTTGTCGAAGCAAGGCTTGTTCTTTAATCAGCTTCTTGGGTGGGAAAGGGGGGACAGTAATTTGGAAAGGAGTGATCTCCCATGGGGCAGGAAAGTGTTGTTGTTGTCTCTCTTGGTAGGGGTGATGAAAGTTATACATTCTGAGCACATTGGCAGTTACGGTAGTCCATTTGGAGGGATGCTGATCTTCAAGGAAGAAGGCTTGGAGGGCTTCAGTGCAGGGGTTAGGGTGGGTTAGCCTAAGCATCTTGATACCAATTAAAGCATTAATTTCAGTGATACGATCACTTACACATGAAATATTCAGTTCCTTCCTCATGTTTAGTAATTTAGTTGTACGGGGGCATCCGAGGATAATCCTCATAGCTTCGTTTTGCATCTTTTCCAGTCCTCCAATCATTCTCTCAGGCACTAGAACAAGCATGGGTGCAGCATAATCAATCAATGACCTAATATATGAGAGATACATCATTTTAACAATTCTCACATTTGCACCATAGCTTGGATGGTAGCCTGCCACAGCCTTGAGAGCACGGAGCCTCTCTCTACATTGGCGACCCAGTCTGGCTACAACATTGCGGTACAGTGGAACTTCAAGACCAAGGTATTTGTATCTGGTTACATAGTCGAGCAGAGAGCCATCATGTAACTGCATTTTGCAAACGGCCCCACCTCGTCTGGGTGGACGTCGGTTCAGGATCTTTGTTTTCTCTACTGATATGACCAAGCCTAGTTCCTGACATGTGTGCAATACAGAGCTCAGAACATTTTGGGTGTTGGTATACCCATTGGTGTGGATCACTATATCATCCGCATAGCTAATGATGTGTTCGCTGGGTCTCCTAGTTACTGAGTTTAAAAGTGCATTGTTTAACACATTGAACAGAGTAAGACCGAGGACACCTCCCTGTGGAGTGCCAAGTTAAAAATCTCTCGTTACACTCCTATGCCCTTGGAACAGTACAGATGACTTCCTGTTGGATAGATAGCCTCTTATCCACCGTAGAAGCCATCCTCCAACATTCATTTTAGCAAGTTCACTCAGAATGACGTGTGGGTTAGCAATGTCAAAGGCTGACTTAAGATCTAGGAAAGTGGTGTATGCCCTATCAGTATGCAGGGTGAGGAATGTGGTGATACAGTGATGTACACTTTCCATGCGTAAAGCCAATTAGAAATATATATACAAGTCAAGCTGGGAGCCATCAGACAGTTGCATCTTGTGAACAGCTCCTCCTTGCCTGGGTGGGCGCCGATTTAGTATCTTTGTTTTCTCTGCTGAGATAATTAATCCTAGGGCCTGACATGAGTCTAATTAATACAGAGTTAAGAGTGTTCTGCGTGTTAACATACCCAGTGGTGTGTATCATTATATCATAATGGAGCGGAGTCTTGAGGTGGGTAGAATATAGTTGTGCAATAATTGGCTGTTGATTGCTGGTGTTGACTTCTTGATGTGTAGTGCCTCGCAAACGTCAAGCCGCCTGCTATCGCTGTATCTATCGATGATTTCTGTGTTGTTTACTAGGATTTCTCTGGCGATGGTTTGGTTATGGGAAGAGAAGTCTCTGAGAAGTCATCGATAGATACAGCGATAGCAGGCGGCTTGACGTTTGCGAGGCACTACACATCAAGAAGTCAACACCAGCAATCAACAGCCAATTATTGCACAACTATATTCTACCCACCTCAAGACTCCGCTCCAATATAGAAGCATCAAGAAATATGGACCAATAGGCTTTCTACAAACACTTCTATTCAATACCCATTGTTTTCTGTTCTGTCTTGTGTTGATACTTTTAATACCCTATTAATATCCCCTGTTCTGTCTTGTGTTAATGCCACATCATCCTTCCCACCTCACTCAAATGTAGATATAATATCAGAGAGACGTAAGTTCTAATCAGTTGTGTATTTGTGAAGTCTTTGAAAATGTAATAAGTTTTACGAAACGCGCCCGTGTCGCGTCAGACTAGAAATAAAAATGAATTTTGGAGAAGTGATTTTTGATTTACCTCCAACAGTGAAGCGTAATGTACGAAAGATTGAGAAAATTCGTGTTAGAATTATTAATCTTACTTTTTCGGTCATATTTAATAATATATGTCTACAGGAAAGACTGCTACCAAAATATACTAATATATATATATATATATATATATATATATATATATATATATATGACAATGATAGTTTTTTTTTCGTGATATACACACATTATATATATATATATATATGTCGTACCTAGTAGCCAGAACGCACTTCTCGGCCTACTATTCAAGGCCCGATTTGCCTAATAAGCCTAGTTTTCATGAATTAATATATTTTCTCTAATTTTTTTCTTACGAAATGATAAAGCTATCCATTTCATTATGTACGAGGTAAAAATTTTTTTTATTGGAGGTAAAATTAACGTAGATATATGACCGAACTTAGCCAACCCTACCTAACCTATCTTTATAGGTTAGGTTAGGTTAGGTAGCCGAATAAGATAGGTTAGGTTAGGTTAGGTTAGGTAGGTTAGGTAGTCGAAAAACAATTAATTCATGAAAACTTGGCTTATTAGCCTACTATATGTCGTACCTAGTAGCCAGAACGCACTTCTCGGCCTACTATGCAAGGCCCTATTTGCCTAATAAGCCAAGTTTTCATGAATTAATTGTTTTTCGACTACCTAACCTAATCTAACGTTTTTCGGCTACCTAACCTAACCTAACCTATAAAGATAGGTTAGGTTAGGTTAGGTTAGGTAGGGTTGGTTAGGTTCAGTCATATATCTACGTTAATTTAACTCCAATAAAAAAAAATTGACCTCATACATAATGAAATGGGTAACCTTATCATTTCATAAGAAAAAAATTTGAGAAAATATATTAATTCAGGAAAACTTGGCTTATTAGGCAAATCGGCCTTGCATAGTAGGCCGAGAAGTGCATTCTGGCTACTAGGTACGACATATATATATATATATATATATATATATATATATATATATATATATATATATATATATATATATATATATATGTCGTACCTAATAGCCAGAACGCACTTCTCAGCCTACTATTCAAGGCCCGATTTGCCTAATAAGCCAAGTTTTCATGAATTAATGTTTTTTCGTCTACCTAACCTACCTAACCTAACCTAACCTAGCTTTTTTTGGCTACCTAACCTAACCATACCTATAAATATAGGTTAGGTTAGGTTAGGTAGGGTTGGTTAGGTTCGGTCATATATCCACGTTAATTTTAACTCCAATAAAAAAAAATTGACCTCATACATAATGAAAAGGGTTGCTTTATCATTTCATAAGAAAAAAACTATAGTAAATATATTAATTCAGGAAAACTTGGCTTATTAGGCAAATCGGGCCTTGAATAGTAGGCTGAGAAGAGAGTTCTGGCTACTAGGTACGACATATATATATATATATATATATATATATATATATATATATATATATATATATATAATGTCGTACCTAATAGCCAGAACGCACTTCTCAGCCTACTATTCAAGACCCGATTTGCCTAATAAGCCAAGTTTTCATGAATTAATGTTTTTTCGTCTACCTAACCTAACCTAACCTAGTTTTTTTGGCTACCTAACCTAACCTTACCTATAAATATTGGTTAGGTTAGGTTAGGTAGGGTTGGTTAGGTTCGGTCATATATCTACATTAATTTTAACTCCAATAAAAAAAAATTGACCTCATACATAGAGAAAAGGGTTGCTTTATCATTTCATAAGAAAAAAATTATAGTAAATATATTAATTCAGGAAAACTTGGCTTATTAGGCAAATCGGGCCTTGAATAGTAGGCTGAGAAGTGAGTTCTGGCTACTAGGTACGACATATATATATATATATATATATATATATATATATATATATATATATATATATATATATATATAATCTAAAGCAAAGTTACGTAAAGATGGTTAAAGCACACAATTTGACAGATCAAGATGAATATACTCTCTGTGACCTTATCAAGTACCAGTAGTAAACAGTAGGTAGAAAGTTTAAGGAGCAGGTGTAGGGATACTTATCCAACTTTTTAAGGGAACTGGCTATGAGGTCAGATATTCAAACAGTATGAATACAATAAGTGGAAAAAAGTAATAATGACATGACAATGTAGGGATAATGAAGTTAATAAAATTTTGAGGTTATAGTATGTTGGTGGCTAGGAGAAATTTGTAAAAATGTATAAATGCAGTCAAGAGTCGGTCCACAGAAAAAGTGGATAGACACGATTTATATAGTGAATACAAATATAAAGGGGGTTTCCCAGATTAATGTCTGTGGATCATGATGATTGTTAGCAATTTAAGGTTTAAAAAAAAAAAAATTAGTCTATTTCATTATACAAGGCATAATGAAATTTTCAGTGCGACGTTGCTTACCTCAATTCACATTATGTAAACATAAATGAAGCAGATTATACTGCACTATCCAAATCATTTTATCAGAACATTGAGATTCATATGGACATGTTAGGATAGAAAAATGACAACTATATATACTGTACATAATTTATTTCATTAATGTTTATATTTATGTCGGGCCAAGCCATAAATTAACGGAAAGTTTAACATTACACGTTATTCAGTTATACTGCATACTTACATCAAAGAGTCCAAACCATTACACTTCTCAATTAAGTAGGTGAATGTCATTTACTCTAACACTTTATGCTTACACTCACTAGCAAGTCATGTATCGAGCTTAAAATGATCATTCTGGAAATTTATCGGATAATTTCAATACTCTGAAAGCAACTTCAGGGCAAAGTAATGTAATCTATTTAAAAACATTTATTAACGAAAATCTGTTGTGTATTTCTATGAATACAAACAAGGACAACATTTGACATCTACTGCCAGCATGAATGCTATTTCAAAGAAGAATTGCTCCAAAGCCAAACGTTCTTTTGATGCTCTCCCAGTAATAGTTCCGCCATCCTTCTTTTGTTTTCTCAACCTCGCTGGAAAAAGAAAAGAGAATTTCAGATGCTGTAAAACTGATAAGTACATATTTTGATCATAAATGTCATGTCACTAATGAGAATATCAATTATTGGGAACATTGGGGACTATGTATGTATTAACACGTTGTACTGAACGGGGTGAGAATACCTTGAGCTACCTCATCCCTTTGTGTGTATTTTACCTCAATAAACTTATTTCAATTTCAATTATTGTATTATGCCAAATAGTGTAACCTCCAAAATTCAAACCTCTTTATAACAAATAGAGTACATCTAAATACAAAATTTTTTATTGAACTGTCCCTCCAAAATTTATATTTTGATGCTGAATCACAGTCGGCATGAAATCCTAGTCGACTCTATATACAATATTAATTTTCAGCATGATTATTTTTTCTACTTTTATTAATAATGTGCTTTTAATAGCATATACTACTGTACTGTACTTTAAAAACACTTAGTTAAAAATGCTGTACTATACTGTAATAGTGCTTATAGAATTTTTTAGTGTAAGTACTTCTCGTGGTTTAATAGAAAATCTACATATTAGAGAAAATTACAACTTTCTGGTGTCACAAATAGAATAAAACATGAGTGGGAAGGTCCAAGATGACACTTCTGAGATATGAGAAGCAAATATAGTGAGTTTTTGTGAAGATATTTTTACATTTTAATTTCAATGTCATCGATTTGTCTTCCACCTTTTTTTTCCAGTACAACTATGCAATTTTATTATATAAAATGTGTGGAACATTACTATGTTAAAATGTACTCATAATAAAAGTCGCTTACATGAACACCATATTATATTCTTAGAATAAAAAATACTATTTTTGCCGTTATTACACTGTACTGTTTGAGCTCTTATCAGAAACCCACTGAACCGTATAGTTGGTTTATCTGGTCAAAATTGGGTTTGGATAACTTTCTGCCAAACTTTGTCATATCCAAACAAAAATTCAGATAACCAGAGATTAGGATATGCAAGTTTTTCAAAAACTACACATTTCAAGATTTAAAGTATCACAGAAGACTACACACTACAACAAGCTAATTTTCTCTTAAATTATATTTTTGATTTATAGTGTGTGGAAATAAGAATTATGGTGTTTGTGTTAAGAGAGAGAATACTGCAATTTTTTAATTTAACCCTGCCAGATTTTGGCTTATCCGGCAGGGACTTCTTTCCATAAACCATAGATCGGATAAGAGAGCTTAGACAATATGAACGCTACATATAACTGCTGTATCTACATTTTTTGCATCATTATAACTCAATTAACAGTTGTGGGTGTAATAACCTGGCAAGGAATAATCTGAGTTCAGTACAGCCCTGCATATTTTGCACAAAGTTGTAACTGCATACAGTACATTGAATATTACATTTTTGTACATTTCCATGATCTTCTCAAGGCTTTTCAAATGCAATTTGATGCATTTGACTGTCAATAATGTTTACATTAGAGAACATATAGGACATAAGTATGCACATATATTTATGTCACTAATATTCTTACAATACTTTATGCTTTGAATAATAACACTTTTTTCTGTTATTACACTGTATACACACACGTGTGTGTGTGTGTGTGTGTATATTATATATATATATATATTATATATATAGTTAGTTATCTACATTTTCACGCACTATTATGAACCACTAAGCAGTTCTGACGAGTGTCAATCTGGTAATCCAAGCACATCATAGCACCACACACTAGACAGTTGCCAATAGCACCTGATAGCAAAATACCCCGGAATTTAACGGACATTAACTTTAGCAACACCACTGCTTGCTAAAGTTGCAACATCAGAATCCTGGTCACTAAATCCTGAATATGAATAATTTTACAAAAGCTCACTTTCCTAAAAGAACACTAGGTCCCATTTCCTGATGCAGACCCACCGAACTGTAGATGTGTACTGTGGATGTCAGCCTCATGCTGTTAACATTGTAACCAGCACTGACTTAACTGATATCTGAACCTTGTACATACACTATCAGTCAAGATCTTCTATGACACCATTAAATATTCAGTTACAGTACTTATTTATTTCACAATTATTAAGTGATGCTATGGACACAAGCTGCTTCTGTATGCACTACTCATGGCTACTCTCTCGGTACTGGAACCCATCACACCCAGGAAGGGTGTCTACGATCCCCCCCACCCCCCAAGATTTGGGGGGGGGGGTCGGCTTCCTCACTCTGTTTACTGGAGGAGTGAGGAAGCAGATTTGAACCCTGTTAACCCATGGGTTTCTTAAATCTTATGTGGTACTTTAAAACATCTCTGACCTTGTCATGCAGCTTATGGATAATTAGTGAGAACATACCTGGCTTTGTTGCACAGTTGAAGGGTTAAATATGTGCAATGATATATTCTATTTCTGATAAAAAAATTACCAAACATTTTGTTTTAAGTGGAAAAAATAGCTAATCTGATGTGCAAATTATTTGTGAATCTGGATTGATATTGTCCAGATCTTGGAGGTTACACTGTATAGTAATTTCAATTTATGGCAATGCATACATTTATCGACGTTTTCAACTTCAAAACTGTATTTACATAAACCAATTTTGCAGAACCAATAATTGATAAGTAAGTAATTATCAAAAGAAGGCACCAAACCGGGAAGGCTATGTAGCACCATCAAATGCGCAAAATAATCAGAGGGCGCTAAATATCACCAAGGATGCCAATACGAGAACAAAAACGCATAAGGCGAACGATATCAAAAGTATCCGAGTCACCAAGAATTCTATTGAGGGACAGGTGACCGCGAGGGGCGGTCGGAAAGCAAGACACACACTCGTCCTGGAAGTCAGGACATTCAAGAAGGACATGCACGACCGTAAGAGGGACAATGCAACTAGGACAATAAGGAGCAGGGCGGCGCTCCATCAAGTGACCATGGGTTAAGCGAGTATGGCCAATACGCAATCTCGCCAGAGCTGTTTCCCACCGCCGGTTACGGTGGAAGGAGGACGGCCACGAGGAAACACAACATTTAAGAGTACGTAGCTTGTTACCAGTAAGAGACAACCAAGAAGCCTGCCAACGGGTAAGGACTGAGGAATGGATAACCGGGTAAAAGTCGGAATACGGAACGCCTTTACGAGAGATGGGACAAGAGCGGACAGCTTCCTTGGCGGCAGCATCCGCACGCTCATTTAAAGACACACCAATATGGCTGGGAACCCAACAAAACTCAACCGACTTAAATTTACTGTGAACAAGAAACAGCCAATGCTGGATCTCGACAACTACTGGATGAACCGGATTAAAGGACCCGAGAGCCATGAGGGCACTACGAGAGTCAACAACAACTACAAAGGAGGACTGACAACGAGAAAGCAGGAGACGAAGAGCATAGAGAATAGCATAAAGTTCCGCTGTAAAGATGCTAGTCTCCGGAGGTAAGCGACACATATAAGTGCGATCAGGAAAAACAACAGAGTAGCCAACACCGTCCGCCGACTTAGACCCATCGGTGAAGACAGAAACGGAGCGGGAGTGAGAAGAAAAGTGCTCAAGGAAAAGGCGTTTTAGAACCGTAGGAGGGGTAAAAGCTTTAGTGATACGGGTCAAGGAAGTACAAAACTGCGGAAGAGGGACTCTCCACGGGGGCAAAGAAGGAACAACACGAGGAGAAACATTAGAAATACGAACGGAAAGAGAATCCTGGAGGCGAGATAACCGGACAGAAAGAGGGAGCTGGTGAAGAGGAACAGGAACCGCAGGAGGGGTAAATGTTAAAGTACGACAGAGGCGAGAGGAAGGATGTTGTAAGGACCGCGCAAGATAGCGAAGACAGTAGCGATCACGGCGGTCCTGGAGAGACAGGAAGCCAGTGTCAACATAAGCTAAGGACGGGAGTCGAACGAAAGGCACCAGAACTGAGGCGCAACCCAGTATGGTGCAAAGCATCAAGACGGCGAAGAGTAGAAGGAGAAGCAGACGAGTAAGCAGGGCAACCATAATCGAGCTTAAACAGGACAAGAGAGGAATGTAAAGCAAGGAGAGTGCGCCTATCTGCTCCCCAAGAAGTATGGGACAAGACCCGAAGGAGGGTAAGGGCCTTAGAGCACTCAACACGAAGGTAAGAGATATGGGGAGACCAAGACAAACGAGTGTCAAGGAATAACCCCAAAAGCTTCGCGGAATCTTTGTATTCAAGGGGATGACCATAAAGTGACAAAGAGGGACGAAGAACAACCCGTTTCTGCGTAAAAGTCATGGCACAAGTCTTAGAAGTAGAGAACTTGAAGCCAAGATCGGTGGCCCAAGACGACACGGCATCAATTGCAAGTTGAAGCCGGCGCTGAAGGAGAGGCGAATCATCACCCTGACAGCAAAGGGTAAGATCATCGACATAGAGAGCGGAGAAGACACCAGAAGGAAGAGAAGAAAGAAGACCATTGAGGGCAACCAGAAAAAGAGTAGTGCTCAGAACACTACCCTGGGGCACACCTTCGTATTGCTGAAAAGAGGCAGAGAGCGCGGTACCAAGGCGCACCCGAAAGGAACGGCGGGAGAGGAAGCTGCGGAGAAAGAGAGGGAGACGACCACGAAGGCCAAAAGAATGAAGTTGAGATAGAATATGATATCTCCAAGTGGTGTCGTAAGCCTTTTCCAGGTCAAAAAGGACGGCAACAATGGAGGTCTTCGCAGCAAAAGCAGTACGAAAATAGACCTCCAAGTTCACCAGGACATCTGTCGTGCTGCGGCACTTGCGGAAACCAAATTGAGAAGGGGAGAGGAGGTGATGGTTCCAGGAACCACATCAGACGAACGTTAACCATACGTTCAAAGAGTTTGCAGACACAACTTGTGAGAGCAATAGGGCGAAAGTCCTTAGGAGAAGTGCCCAGAGACCCCGGTTTGCGAACAGGGAGGACAACGGCATCGAGCCAGTCCTCAGGGACTGACGACGACTCCCAGATCCGATTATACAGACTCAGTAAATACTGAGACGTGCACGGAGGGAGATGGCGAAGTATCTCATAATGAATACCATCGGAGCCCGCCGCCGTAGAACCGCAGAGGGCCAGGGCAGAACGAAGTTCAGAGAGAGAGAAGGGATCATTATAGGGAAGTTGAAGACGAGTGCAGAAATCTAAAGGACGAGACTCAAGGACAGGTTTACGAAGAAGAAAAGATTGGGGAAGATGAAGACCAGAGCTAATAGAAGAAAAGTGGGAACCCAGTACGGAAGCGACCTGCAACGGGTCCGCCACAAGAGTATCATGGAGGTGAAGGACCGGTGAAACATCGGGAACGAATTTACCCGCTATCATGCGGATACGCTTCCAGATCTGGGCCAGAGGAGTTTCGGACGTAATTGTTGAGACATAAGATGCCCAACATTCACGTTTAGCCGTACAGATGGCCCTACGGGCCACCGCACTCGCTTTCCGAAAGAAAAGAAAAGAATCGGTCGTCTGCCTACGACGGTGCCTCTTCCAGGCTGCACGCTTACAGCGGACAGCCCGAGCACAGTCCGCATTCCACCAGGGAACGCACTTCCGTGGACCCCGGGAGGAAGAGCGAGGGATAGAGCGGAGGGCAGCGTTGAAGACAGTGTCATGAAAAAGGAGGAGAGCGCGAGAGAGAGGCAGAAGGGATAGGTCAGAGAGAGTAGCACTGAGGGAAAATAGGGTCCAGTCCGCCTTAGCAAACTGCCACCTAGGGAAAGAGAGGGAAGGGCAAAAAGAGAAAAAGGAAACAAGGATGGGGAAATGATCACTTCCATGGAGGTCATCAAGAACCTGCCACGTGAAATCTAAGTAAAGAGAAGAAGAGCAGAGAGAAAGATCAAGACAAGAAAGGGTGAGAGTCCGAGAGTCCAAATGAGTGGGCTCACCAGAATTCAGAAGAGACAGGGAAGAAGAGAGGAGAAACGGCTCAAGAAGGCGACCCCGGGTATTCGTCAGAACGTCACCCCAAAGAGAATGACGACAATTGAAGTCACCCAGCAGGAGCACAGGCTCCGGCAAGGAGTCTAGGAGGTGTTTCAAATCAGGAAGAGAAAGCGGGACACTCGGGGGGAGATAAATGGAAAAAACAGTGTACCATTTCCCCACAAAGACACGAGCAGCAGAACAATGGAGAGGTGAAGGAAAAAGTAAAGGAACAAAGGGAACATCAGCACGAATCAAAAGAGCAGAAGAATTAGAAGCCCCAGCAACAGCTGGGGGGGGGGGGGGGAAGAGAGAAAGGAATAGCCACGAAAACGACCAGGACGAGCACCAAGCATCGGCTCCTGGAGACAGACACAAAGGGGCGAAAACCGCGAAATCAGAAGTTGGAGTTCGAGGAAATTAGCGTAATAACCTCAAACGTTCCATTGAAGAATGGACAACGACGAGAAGAGAAAGGACAAAAACAGAGAACAAGGAAGAAACAAAGGCGAAAGAGCAGCAGAGCACGTTAAAGAATATCAGGGTCGGGATCAGGGTCAGCAAAGTCAGGGTTAGGGGGCATGGGTAAACTGAGCAAAGACGGAGGGAAGGAAACGGGAGAACAGATCAGAGGTGGGCGGGCGGGGTCCGGAGGAGGAGGAGGAAGAGGAGGAGACAAGGACATCAGCAGGAAGAGGAGGGGTAGAAAGAGGGGAGCGTACCTCAGCAAGGGCAGCAACTGAGAGGGAAGCGGGGGCTAAAGAAACCTCCATAGCAGGAACAGGGGGCGCAACCACCGAAATGGGAGGGGAAGGAGCGAGAGAGGCAGAAGTAGGGGCAGAGGAAGAAAGCGAAACCTTCTTACCCGCCGGGGAGGAGGAAGGAGAGGAGCCAGGTTTACGCTTCTGACGTAAAGAGACAGGTGTTCCAGCAACCACGTACTGGGCAACGGATTCTAGCGTCTCAACAGGAGAAGCTGAACGAGAGCACACATGACGGCCGTTTGGAGAGCGATGGACATCAGCCCGCACCGACAGGCGGCGGGGAGAGTCAAAAGACGGAGGGGAAGGATGGGAAGGAGGAACGGAGGGAGGCGAGGAAGAAGACACAGGAGACACAACAGACCGGGTAGAAGGAAGGGGAACCCCAGACAGAGGACCAGGAGGAGGATCCTTCGGGAGAGAACCCAAAGGAACAGAGGAGGGGGCAGTGGGCGCATCAGGGTCCAAGGCCCGGAAACGGTTGAGAGTCTGAGGAAGGCGGGAAGGACGAGGAGAGGAAGAGCGCAACACGCGAGCATAAGAGATATTAGCATAAGGCGGGAGCCGGCGAACCTGGGGTCTCGCCTCAGGAAAAGATAAATGCTCCCGGTGCTTCAAGTTGAGGACGGCTGCCTCAAGCTTGTAATGGACACACGCACGGGAGAAGGCAGGATGGGCCTCACCGCAGTTGAGGCAACGAGCCTGGGGAGAAGTGCACTCCGACTTAGAGTGACCTTCGCCACCACACAAAGGACAGAGAGAGACAGTCCCGGAGCAGCGGAGGGCACCATGCCCAAACCTCCAGCACTTGTTGCAGAGCCGAGGAGAAGGAATGTACTCCTGGACAGAGCACCTGGCACCAGCAAGAATGACAGAGGGTGGAAGGGTCCTACCATCAAAGGTAATCTTCACAACCCGGAGGGGTTGACGGCGACTACCACGAGGGGGACGAGTAAACGTGTCCACCTGGAGAATAGAATGGCCCTGGGCAGCAAGGATATGTCGAATATCGTCGTGGCAGTCGCGCAGGTCCCGAACACCGGTCGCAACATGGGGCGGGAGCAAAATAGTGCCAACACTGGCATTCAACTGAGCGTTCTTCGAGACTCGAACATGGGTCTCGCCAAGGCAGGATAATGCAGCCAAGCGGGAAACAGCATCCTGAGAAGGAGCAGCAACGACACGTGTACCGAGACGAGTGGGGTTGAAAGTAATGGAGGCATCCACAGAATCAACGAGATGTCGATGGAGGGAGAAATCGTCAGGAGGCGCAGAATCAAGAGGGAGGAGATCAAAATATTTGGCCCACGAAGCGGGACCAAACAAGGCTTGATAGGTAGCAGAACTGGAAGGAATCGAGCGAGGGCGGCCGTGACAAGGACGGCGGTGAGAACCCCCAGAGAGGGGTTAAAAGGCGCAGTAGTTACAACTAGAGAAGGAGCCGCGCCAGGGGACGAGGTAGTCACCACTGGGGGCTTGGGGCTCGACCCAACCACAGAGGAGGGAGGGGAGCCAGGGGAAGGAGTCAGAGAGGCCAAAGGAGGAGCAAGGTCGGGGCCCAATGCAGCGGAGGCTACAGAGCCCGGTCTTCCAATACGGACCGACTCGGGGGCTTGGTCGCCCACCCCACGAGCCTGAGAAGGTAAACCAGAAGCAGCCGAAACAGGGGTTATCATCATTACGAAAAGAAGAATTCATTCACGAATGTGCCCCCACACCCACCATGGAGCCACAATTAGAGGCAGGACACCCAACAAGAAGCTATCGCCGATCTTGCCGGGGCCTCCTAGGGGTGCGTCGTGAGTATACGCCCCACAAACGCCACCTTAAGAAACCAACAGTCCGTCGAGATCGGGTTCAGTGACGAAAGGGGGATTGACAATAAAAGGTTCCCCTCGCTCTCGACGTCGGGTACTACAGTTCTACGGGTGCAAGAGTATGCCTCCTCAAGCACCCGGGCGTCAAAATAGAAGAAGTCCAAGGGAAGAACCAGAAAGAGCAAAAGGTCAACAGGAAACGGCAAGCAGATAGGAGAAGAGGGGGGAGAAAAACGAAACAGAAGGAAAAGGAAAAGATGCCCAGCAGAATTGGAGAGGACGGCAGCAGGAGCACAAGGCTAGAAAAGGACAGAGGACTGTCCCAAGGAGCATCACACTCCGGCAGCCGCCCACTAAGCCCCCACACGGCGACAACGAGCTGAGCGGGGAGGGGGCAATAATTGATAAGCAATATGTTTTAAGTAAACTTGTTCATAATCTTTTCCACTTGTGCAGTTAGATCAGTGGTCCCCAAACTATGGTCATTACCCCTTTTTCATACAGCGTGCTTATTAATGGCCCCCCCTGCACTTGGTATTAAACCTCAAAATTAATTTTTTCATCAGCAAATCCATGTACTGTATTTTGCCCTTATAATAAAAGATGGTGTGTCCTGCCTCAGCTTATGGTCCCTCTACATATTGCAAAAAAGACCCCAGTTTGGGAACCAGAGAATTATATGAACTGTACAGTATTTAGTAATACGTTTGAAATATATTGCTTATACATTATTATTGGTCCTGAAAAAATTGGTTTGTAAATACTGTACAGTATAGCTTTACAACTGGGAACCTTGATAAGTATGCATTGCCATAAACAATTTATTACAGTGTAATCATTGAGATCTGGACAGTATCAGTCCAGGTTCACAAATAATTTGTTTTCCAGGATAGTTCTGGAATTTAAAGTTCTATTTTTTCTAGGTAACTAGAAATATATATTCTATATATATAGATATATTTTTTTCTAAATAACTATAAAATAACTATAACTAGATAGTTCTAGTTATTTTTCCATTTAAAGTAAAATATTTGATCATTTTCTTGTACTATACAGTCCATTTAACTGCACGAGTGGAAAAGTTCACCAGTAATAAAACACAGTTTTCAGTGAGTACAGTACTAAGCTGCATTTGTAGGAGGCTAATAATTAGATTATAGGTTGTCCATGCAATTACTACAAATTCCTTATCATCCTTACATTTTAAGTTATGACTTGAATTCAATTTCTTTATTATGCACCCCATAGCCATCCTGTGGGTGGTGGCGTAAAGGGTTACAGAGGCACAATCGGTTCAGGAACTGAACCCCCCCCCCCCTAGTGCAATTAGCTAAGCAAATAATCTTTTGTTGAGCTGGCCTATATTATGCACTCATCTAACTTGTCCAATCTTTCACTATCTGTGCACTAAAGAAATCTTCAAATTCTACTAACCCATTTGAGCTTCAAATTTTCTACGTGTATCTTCTCATTCTGAGCCTTACCTTTTCTATAAACATGCCATACTTTGTGTCATGTGCACAAGTTCATATATGAAAGTAAACATTTAAATGTGTGTACATGTACATAATGTGCAAATGTGTGTGTACCAATGCATTAAAAGTGTACATGTGCATTTGCACATGCTAACTATTTAAACATTTTAAGAGCTAAGAGAAACTTGTCAAACCCTCTGAAGATCAGAATTTATAATTTAAAGTACAGTACAGTAGCTTATTGTACTCACTTGGATGGAACCCCTGTTTGAGACAACTGAAGCTCTGTACAGTCGTTCCTTTGTACAATATCCATGGTAACTGTTGAATAGTGGCCACTTGGCCAAGATTTGAAACGCCACTTTTGTACTATCTGTTTGTTCGGTTCCTGGGGGAAAATAAAAAATATACATATCAAATACCAGAAATATTTTAAACTCCAATGTGCTGATCTTCTAACTCCAGCGGAAACTATATCTTGAGGTAGAGATATCAACACCTGATTGGTTTTCTTTATGGAGCCTCTTGGTGGCTCCCCAAAGCTATCTTACTGTGATTGTTCTATGCAATTGGGTCACATCAAACATGAGAGTTCTGTTTGGCTTACTGAGGACCAGGGCCAAAACCTGACGCTGTCAAAGAGGGGTAGAGATTAAGTGACAATTCGTCATCTCATTGTGAAACCTCCAGATAACCAGCAAAGCTTTACAGACAACTGGAGGGTTAAAGTCTAAAGCCTTGAAAACATGAAATAACTCTGCAAACAATTCACAATGAACAAGAGAATCATTCAAAATTAGCATGAAACCCATACACCAAATGCCAGCTTCCTCACAGTCGTCTTCCATGTCAGATCTTTTGATCACGTCCTGGGGGATACACTGTTCTGGATCTTTCAGACAACAGCAGGGGTTCAGGCATTCTGAGGCAGTTCTAGCAGCCTGGTATTTGGTTAATGACCCTGGTCCCAGTTGGCTATGGATTGCCTTGGGCCATGTCTCCTAGCCTGGCTTCTCTTCATCCTAGTGCAAGCCACCACTCCTCTCTGGTAAGTCCCATTTCTGTTCTCTATACTACTTTGTCAGCTTTAGGAAGCCACTAGTGGGAAAGCACTCCCTTGAGAAACCCTGCATTGAATGTAGTGAAATGCTTTTTGGATGAGCCCTGGTGGCTGTCTGACTCGCTCCCTCCCAGGTTTGCTTTTCTGCTGTTCATCAGCTCCAGATCTGATAAGAAAGACGATTACTTCCAGAAGCCGGGCTGCTTGTTGGTGGCACTGTATTTGGTACTATGGGTTTCACACTCATTTTAAATGTTAATGTTGTTGTGGATCAATTGCTTGTAGAGTTGTTTAATGTTTGAGGCTTAAGTCTTTGTTAACCCTCCAGTTATCTGTAAAGCTTTGCTGACTTTCTGGATGCTTCCTCAGTGTGGTGGTGAACTGTCATTTGCTCTCCGCACCTTTGATGGGGCCAGATTTTGGATCTGGTCTCTGGTAAGCCAAACAGGATGCCCATGTCTGATGTGACCCAGTTGCATGGAGCACTCTGCGACAGGTTTAGGAAGCCACTGGGGCTCATCCAGTAAGAGGCACATCATTGCATTCAATGCTGGTTTTTTACAATGATCTAAGTGAGTTGGTTCTCTGGTATACAAAATAATGTTCTATAATATGCCTGCAGTTGTTTGTAAGCTACTCATATGAAGTATATAGTTCTTCCAAATACAGCATGTCAAAAAACAATGTGCAATTCAGCTCTAATTTACAAATTTAAATACCAGTACATTACCTGAATGAAATATCACTTACCAAAGACTCAAATTCACCAGATATATTCCCACCGAAGAATTCAAACTTCCCACCTTTCTCTACTTCTAACTTCACATCACCTCTTGTGAAAGCAACTACCATCTGGAAAAAGCAAAATGTGTAATGTTTACATACCATTATAAGCTATAAATAGCTATGTAAACTAAGCATTTTGCCTGGTAGCTTCAGATCTGCCTTAAACACAAGTGTATACTTTAAAAAATACCATGCAAGTTTGAAGTAATTATCACACCAATGTAAACAAAAATTAAATATTTAAATTTTGATCTAAATTGGAATGTACAAATGAAAAGTACAAACCTCTCGCTGAGTAAGAGCTCTGTAAAGCTCGTCTGCAGTGCACTTGAATGTGTGATTGGTACAGATCTTTGATGTACTTATCTTGCAACCCAGGCCCATCTTCTCTATGTTATTGGTTGTATTCATCACCTAAGAAGAAATTCTAGTAATAAATATTTCTAAATAAACTTCATTTACTCTACATTAAGGGGCTTTTCTTCATGCCTAAATTTAGACCTCTAATCAGAAAATGACCAATGAACAATCATTTAAGGCTCAGAAACCTTATTCATACTCACTGGTTTACAACAAATACCATTTATGCTTCAATTAATGTGTGCATGCTGCTGGCTACAATTCCTGTGACATGAGAAGTGTTTGGGCACAGTTCCCGGTTCACTTAGCAGAAAAGAGGTACCTGAGAGTACCTAATTACTGTTAGGTAAATATTGCCGGGAAGTGTCACTAGTTTAGTTTGTGCAGTGGTCCTCAATCTTTTATGTCTAATTCTCCCATTTCAAAACATACCTTAACACCCCCCGTACAATCACATTCTCACCAGCATACCCCCACAACTAAATTCTCACCAGTAGACCCCTCACAACCACGTTCTCGCCAGTACAACCCCACAACCACGTTCTCGCCAGTAGACCCCCACAACCACGTTCTCGCCAGTAGACCCCCACAACCACGTTCTCGCCAGTAGACCCCCACAACCACGTTCTCACCAGTAGACCCCCACAACCACGTTCTCGCCAGTAGACCCCCACAACCACATTCTCGCCAGTAGACCCCCACAACCACGTTCTCGCCAGTAGACCCTTACAACCACATTCTCGCCAGTAGACCCCCACAACCACGTTCTCGCCAGTAGACCCCCTCAACCACGTTCTCACCAGTAGACCCCCACAACCACGTTCTCACCAGTAGACCCCCCACAACCACATTCTCGCCAGTAGACCCCCCACAACCACGTTCTCACCAGTAGACCCCCACAACCACATTCTCGCCAGTAGACCCCCCACAACCACATTCTCGCCAGTAGACCCCCACAACCACATTCTCGCCAGTAGACCCCCACAACCACATTCTCGCCAGTAGACCCCCACAACCACATTCTCGCCAGTAGACCCACACAACCACATTCTCACCAGTAGACCCCCACAACCACATTCTCGCCAGTAGACCCCCCTCAACCACATTCTCGCCAGTAGACCCCCACAACCACATTCTCGCCAGTAGACCCCCACAACCACGTTCTCACCAGTAGATCCCCACAACCACATTCTCGCCAGTAGACCCCCCACAACCACATTCTCGCCAGTAGACCCCCACAACCACATTCTCGCCAATAGACCCCTACAAGTAGTGTTGTAGGGGGGTCTTGTAGACCTCACCAGTAGTCTTGCATTATCAAAAAAGTGCCATAGGATTTAAAAAAAATAATAAAAATTTATGTACGGTAGATATATTTTTTAATGACATTAAAAGTGAGCGAGTTCTCTTTTTATATGAAATATGTTAAAAAAATATAACAGTTCCTCTTTCACTTCCGTCCCTCTCTGAAGAAATTATTTAAAAATTTAAAGTAAAAGGTGAAGCATTAACACATCGCATAGAGAAATGCTGCCCAACATTGAAACAACACAGATCTGAAACGTAATGCAACACAACGACAATACTTTACATTTGAGGACATTTGATTAGTTTCAAGTCAAATTAAAATTACACAAAATGCACATAGTATACACATTCAATGGCCACTGAAAAGAAAGATGAAGTGGGACCAGGAGCAAGTAGACCTCAGTTCCATGGACAGTTGTGCTGTTTAATGATGACCTTTAACAACCATCCAAGGCCCTATAACACCATATATCCATGCCTGTCTTGCCTACCCTCTACTGTCATAGGATATACCAGTACATACTTCATGTTTTGGAGTAATTTTCGTTAGACTAACAATCTCATTTAGAACATAAGGGCCTCAAAATAATCTGGTCCTAAGATTTTTTGGTTCACAACTATGTAGGCAGCCCTTCGCCTATATATATAAAAAAATAACATTTTTGAAAGCTTACATTTGAGCTGAATGAATTATCAGTTCGTGTTGGGCTGATATGTGTTTTATTCTCCTTGACCACAGCCTGGCCCTTGGTGGGTTTGATTAGATCAACTGCATATTCTGAAAAGTCAAAAGAAAATTAGTAAACTAAGCTTTCTTTAAACAGGACTTTTTTCATACAAACACTGCATTTTCTTGTACTATAGTTTGTGTCATACTGTGGCAACAATATAGAAATTAATAAAAGCATCCTCTGCCTCAAAGCATAATATACATAAAACATCAATAACTTTACTTTATATACCTAGCTATTAGTATGGTAAAGAATCATGGCAGTTATCCAGAAGGACAAAGCATAAAGACAGAAGCCACAGTACATCCTTGGATAATGCCCTACAGCTTCTCCCACTATCAAAAAGAAGGGCTGGACCTTCGGTAAGAGCCCTGAGCACTATGTATAACCTTGCAAAACCAGAGCAAACCCTTAACATCTACAGGGTATTCACTGGAAAGGTACAAATGATTATAAGCAAGATATGGTCAAGCATGAGAGGCCAAATATTTAGGTGTGTTTCATGTGATGGTGGCAGGTTTCTTTTCGGAAGCTTATAATTAAAAACTATAAAGCATGCTGCAATGTGTAACATTAGTGCAAATGTGTCACCACGAATGCAATGGTTGCATTCGTGCAAAAATCAGTGTAAATCAAACACAAAAGTAAGTTAACAATAATAAACTTTCCCATACCGTACCTCCAAAATTAATTTTTATTCAAATTTTACTCAACAAAACAGCCATTTAAAAATTACTTTTTTAATCCTCCTTCCAGCCACAAATTCAGCACATAATAAAACCCAGAAAGCTTAATATGAGCAAGAATGCATTAAAAAAATTATAGTAGAGTACCAATTTTTCTTTGGGGATCACAAGAAAACAGTTACACTAGTCGATGTATTTCTTCAGTCTTGTCCATAAGGGGTACCATCACCTCTGGTGCAGTTGTGGGGACTCACAGCCTCGAAAAAGCAAATAGGGGAGCACTCACAAAATTTGTCCTTTATTTCAATATAGTACAGTATTTGCTTCTCCTACCACCCCTGTTTAAGTGTAAACTTTACTGTAAATGATTACATGATTATAAAAGTATGGCATTAACATGTACATGACAATACTAGAAGTGAAATGAAAAGCACAGCAACTGAATTCACTAATAAAAGTCACAAACCAATTTGACCGCTACTGTAGTACAAATCAAACACCTCTTTACTGGAACAAGAAACTTGTTGCTCTCTGGTCTTTTGTGACTGATTAGTTTGTCGCCCAGTTCCTTCAGGAATTTTAATGAACATTTGCCCCACGAACCAAGGGTTTCCAATTATTTAGACTGTATATATACATACGTATGCAAAAATTATGTAACTCAGCACACAGAAATCACAATTGCGTGATGCATCAAATGAACAAATCCACAAGGGCCGTGACAAGGATTCGAAGCTGCGTTCGAGAGCATTCCAGACGCTGCCCCAATCGACTGAACTATGACATGGTCAAAAGGAGTCGAAACCGAAGTTCTACTGAACTTACTGGATCCTGCAGCCTCTCTGAGGCACAAACCAAAAATCCTGGTTTGTGCCTCAGAGAGGCTGCAGGATCCAGTAAGTTCAGTAGAACTTCGGTTTCAACTCCTTTGACCATGTCATAGTTCAGTCAATTGGGGCAGCGTCTGGGATGCTCTCGAACACAGGTTCGAATCCTCGTCACTGCCCTTGTGGATTTGTAAATGTGTAACTAGGTTCAGTAGATTGTTAATTGGTTAGCTAAATGAACTATAAGGTTCAGATCCTGAACCATTGTGTATGTCTAATCCTTTCTGCCAATGCCCACAGGATGGATATGGGGTGCATAGTAAATGACAACTATTTTATCACATCAAAGAGGGAAAGATTCGACTACACATGCAGAAACAAGACAAGCCATAAGCAAGACTAAGATGCCTACTGCTGCCTTTGCTACAGTTACAGATAAACACACACCGTGCAAATCATGCATCTGCATGGACACCCGTTATGGAGGCTAAGGTGTGAGTAACCTAACAGCAATATAACAGCAAATCTAAATATCAAGCACCTGTAAGGTGGGTTACACCAGTTCAAACTTAAGGAATTTTTGCTTCCATGAGCTATCAAATAGGATTATTTTATATACCAGGAGGGAAAGGATTGTATCTCAAATACATTAACGATATTTTATTCTGTACAAGAATGCCTTTAGTTTTTCAAGGTTATTTTTCATACAATTAATATTTTGCATGTACTGTAACCTAATTTAAAACAAACATTTTTTTGTCAATTAAGTGATTTTACAACAAATTTAGGAAGAGCTCACTTAAGATAATTTTATACTGTATATCCAAACTAACCTTTCTTTAGAGTCTCAATATATTCGCCAAGTTTTTTTCTAATATTACTGGTGCCCTTTTTCCTGAGGAACTCCTTCACCTTGTCACCATCTGATCCTCCAGCAGAGACAGTTATGTTAACCTGAAAAAATCCTGGCTATTAAGTACAGTACCATTATCTACCATTTCTTACAGGGAAGGAAGAAAAAAAAAACAGTTGGCAAGGAAAAGTAGTCAAGAAATAAGATAGAATATATTACCCTTCTTGGGTATCTACTCGTCTGTCAGCATATAACTTTACTGTTCACAGTTATTTTTCTTGTAATTTTTTGCAAGACATGTGCCTGGATGTCAAAAAGTCACAATATTTTCATCAAATGTTTATTTGATATTTACTATATTAAAGTATGTAGTACATGCGAGATATATGTAAACACAGATTAATTTGTGCCATTTTACCAAATACAAAAAAAATCGCATTTATAAATCACCGCTGTCATTAACAGAGCAATAGAGGAAATTTAGTTTTTCACCCAAGATGTCCAGCAATCGGTGACAATCTAGAGGAGGATAACATTACAGTACAATTATCAAAGAAGGCACCAAGCCAAGAAGACTATGTAGCTACGTACAGCTACCTATAAAATGAGAACATTATAGGCAGATAGACTTCTGGGTGAGTAAAATGAGAGATGTGAAAAATTAAAATAAAGAGGCACATATTTATAATATCTTATATTAAGTTAAGGGGGGCCAATTACTTTTTTTCTGTAAATTATGGAGTACCACAATGCTCTTAGCAATGTTAGGTATATATTTATTACATTTAACTAAGGGTTAAGATTTACAGAAAGGAAAGGAAGGAATTATTAGAAGAAAGTGCCAAGCCATTACAACTATATAGCACTTGGAAGGGGTTAGGATAAGGATTTGGGATGGGATGGGGGAAAGGAATGGTCCCCAACCACTTGGACGGTCGGGGATTGAATGCCGACTTGCATAAAGCAAGACCATCGCTCTACCGTCCAGCCCAAGTGGTTGGGCTAAGATTTACAGAATATCTGCCAGAATTCACTGAATTCATTTTACAGATCTAAATTTCCTTTGCAAAATAGATTAAAATTATGAGATAAAAGAAGTGTGTACTGTACTATACAAGAACATCACAACTGAAGAAACTGCATAAAGCCTATTTGGCCAAGCATTCAGCTATTTACATTCAACAAACTCACTCATATACATGTATACAGTACTGACTGCCTAATTTTCTCTCAAAACAAACCAATTATAACATGTCTTATGCTAACCAGTCATCAGTTGAAAAAGTCGACAAGCTTGGCTTATTTCCATTCTAGATCTCTTCTGAATCTGGATCAACTGCTTTTTATTAATTTTGATGGAGTAGATAAAGACGGGACCAAGAAGAGACATGACTTCAGTTCTATAAAAAGGCCACAATGTTTTACTTTAAAATTACTCAGTTTCACATTTCCTTATTTAGCTACATCCAACATTAATTATAATTATCTGACCAAATTTTCTAATTTTAGATTTTCTTGTACTAGTACTGCTAAAAATTTTAAATTTCATAACAATTTCCCTCTTCCATCTCCTTGTACAGTATATTTATTTTCTAAAGGTTTTCAATATTTTTATCACACCTGTTTAATACTTCTATAAATCATTCACTTACCCTAAACAAACTGGACAGTAACAAAATTGCATTTTAAGCTCACCTACACTAATTTGTTTAACTTTAAATAATCCAACTGTTTCACTTTCACAAAACACATCGACCTACTACACCTTTTCATGAAATGCTTTTAATTCTCAGTTATCAACTTTTAGAGCACCTATCACACTATGAACTAAATTTTGGTTTAGTGCATGAACAATTAACAAAAGCAAATACAAACACTCACATCAATTTCATCAGGATCATTCTCTTCCGACAAGTTGGGAATTTCTATACTGCCCTTGACATCTTTTTCAGGATTCTCGAACAACACAGCCGTCCAGTCTAAATGCAGCACCCATTCATAGAAGAATATAAGTTTTCCTTTGCGGTTGCTGGCAGTAGCTTCACCTTCACATTTCGTTAATTCCTTTATTGTTATTATGCCTGAAATTAAAATAAATTTTATTTACAGTACCTTAACTTATTAAGATATCTTAAGGCTGTAATATCAAAAATAGTATTTTCAAAAATAAACACTGTCTTATACTATTCACCCTGATTTTGTTGCCTTAGCTCTTGGGTCTTAAGAGCTCTCAGATTAACTTTTAGCTCTTTGATTTTTGTCTTATACTCAAGCACTTTCCAACAAACTTGGTTTTACAGTATTTGTTAAAAGGTCAAATATCAACTTTTTTCCTTCCAAATTATAATATCCTATGAAATCTCAGAGGTAGTTTTATACATGCTGATTATGGTTACAAGATCAAAAAGAGTTAATTTCTGAAATTAAGCATTGGGTTACACTGTTCACTCAAGTCTTGCCTTACACACTTTATAGTCACACTCAATCTGCATCAGCTTTTAACACTTTTGCCTACACTGAACCCTTGTTTATATATAACAACCCCAAGTGCAAGAGAAAAAAAAAATGTTAAAATGCATACCTGATCATGTGGGAAATAAATTATAACATGCTTTGGCCATGGTGAAGTGAGGAAATCTTGCAATGACCTGCTCAAAATGCTATGAGTGTTAGTGGCTTTGCAAAAATGCAACACTTAAACAGCCATGTACATGCGAGTTTGAGCAATGCTCAAACTCTCACAACCCAATGTACTTTCTTGTATAGAAATAAATAAATAAATGGCATGATTCCTGACTGTCCATGGAGCAAATACCCTGTGGAGGTTCCTCCTGGCCAGGCGTGTAGCGGGAGTTGCCATGAAGATATTTTTACATGTTTATTTCAATGTCATATCACTACATTTTATGCACCATAACCAAACTAAGCAGTTCTGGTGGGTGTGGTAATCTGGTAATCCAAGCACAGAATACACCACACACTAGTTAGTTGCTAACACATCAAAATGCTGTGTCATTTTGAACCTGACACCAAAATCCCTCCCACTATACTACATATTACCAACTCTAGCCGCAACCCTACTGTTATCATCAGAATCTAGGTAACAATCTTGAATATGAATCATCATCCATAAGTTTATTTTCTAAGGGAACATGAGGTCCCTTTTCATGATGTGTAGACATTCCAAACCATAGACATGTATGTATGCCTCATGCTGTAATCATCATAACCAGCACTTGGTTCACTGATATCTGAACATGGTTATCTTGAGGTTATCTTGAGATGATTTCGGGGCTTTTTAGTGTCCCCGCGGCCCGGTCCTCGACCAGGCCTCCACCCCCAGGAAGCAGCCCGTGACAGCTGACTAACACCCAGGTACCTATTTTACTGCTAGGTAACAGGGGCATAGGGTGAAAGAAACTCTGCCCAATGTTTCTCGCCGGCGCCTGGGATCGAACCCAGGACCACAGGATCACAAGTCCAGCGTGCTGTCCGCTCGGCCGACCGGCTGCCTAGTACATAGATGGTACATAGATTTTATGTCAGGATCATCTATGACACTATTAAATGATTGCGGTTACTAATTTCTTTCACCATTATTAAGTCATGCTGTAGGAACAAGCTGCAAAGCAGTGCTGTGAGCTGCTGCTGCTGCAAGAGCAATTCATGGTTGCCCTCTCAGTACTATGGGCCCCCTCACACCCAGGAAGGAATGTTCACTTTTTTTTCCAAGATGGCACCTATTTTTTTCCTGTGCAGTACTTTAAAACAATCCCAATTATGTCATGCAGTTTATTGCAGTTGACAAAAAAAAAAAAAAAAAAAAAAAAAAAAAAATTAACTCACCTAATCCAGGCTCTTCAATGTTCATACCCTCAAACAAAGACTTCAGTTTCTCTATACTCCATCCACTGGCATTTTTCTCTGACCTTATGGAATAAAAAAGAAAAATTAATACAGTATAATATTGTTATAATACTTTATGTATGCTATTTATGAACTGTTTCCACTAATCATACGATAAAAGTCTTATTACACAATTTATAGCACATGTACATAATGAAAATTATTTTAATGAATAAGAATTGCATCAATTAAAAAAAATACATACTGTATATGATTGGCTGATGCATTATTCTGATGCCAAATGATTCCCAACCTAAATGATCTAATTCTTATTCAAAAAATATAAGTGCTGTACAATATTGTTTCAATAGCCAGTCAGTCTAATTTTACAATGTTTCCCTATTTTCCCCATAGGCATGTATCGCTTATGCAGTCATGCAAGACAAATGCCGAATATCCAAGTGTAGTGTCGGGGACCATGAGTTGAGAGATGAATCACAACAGAAGTTTGATATCCTTCATGTCTCAAGCGGTGGGTCTAACTGACTGCCAGAGAGCAGACCAAGCTTTCTTGTGGGGTGGTAGTCTTTCATGTGGGTCTAGAGGGAGAGGTTTCTAGAGATGTTAAGGAATGTTCTTTGACCGTTGCCTCATTTATACTGTGCACAACTTTTTTTTTTTTTTTTTTTTTTAGATATATACACGAGTTGTTACATTCTTGTACAACCACTAGTACGCGTAGCGTTTCGGGCAGGTCCCTGGAATACGATCCCCGCCGCGAAGAATCATTGTTACAACCCAGTACACATTTTACTGTTGCGTTAAACAGAGGCTACAGTTAAGGATTTGCGCCCAGTAAATCCTCCCAACTGCACATCACAATCACAGAGAAGGGTCAACGTAATGAGAACACGGTGTTTGGTAAAGCTCTCATCCTTTGTAATACCAAGACTATTCCAATTATTTTTTGCACATAGGTAAATGTTAAACAAAACAAGTATACAGGTTTCACATCCAACAAAGCCCCCCCCCCTAAAAATACATTATGTAAACCGGAAACCGGGAGCACACGCTCTTATGTTGGTGACACTTACCAGTGCCAGTTATTGACGTTGGTGGCGTCGGGTCGCTCTTCCACAATCCACCTGGGATCTCCCTCTCCCCACTTCGCCATTGTTAATCTAAAATAGAGCTTTACGGCGTGTACCTTAGCGTGTCCAAGGTAAGGAATGCACGTAAGGTCCACAGGACGGCAATGCGGCAACTGACCACTGTTTACCTCCAGGAACCCAGGGATCCCGAGGCGAATATTCCAGAATAACCCAGGCCGCAGGGATCTCCTGTATATATCACTAACACGCTACGTATTAACTATGTTAATTACTGAAAATGGGGATTTAAATAGTACATGCAGCTTAGAATATTTATTTCTTAAAACTATGAAACGTTATCTCTGAAATGTAACATTACAGTATGCATTAACAGGCCTGGTTGCTTTATTGAACCATTGTAGTAATGATTATACTTACCTGATATTATATTTCCTAAAGAATGAACAGTTATTACACTTGTATACCTAGTATGCTTTGTTTAATTTATTGACACAATATTATGAAGCTGCAGCTTGTATTTTTGCTCAAGTATATGGTATGGCCTTTGTGAAGATATAATAATAATAATAATAATAATAATAATAATAATAATAATAATAATAATAATAATACCCATGATAAATAATAATAATAATAATAATATTTTATTTAGGAAAAGTACATACATAGATGCAGCGTTACAAACATTCTGATTGATTTATAGATAGAGGTAGTACATACAATACCTAAAGCCACTAGTACGCATAGCGTTTCGGGCAAGGTGAGGTTGGAAAAAAAACACTGACTAAAACTTAATAGTAATTGATCTTAAGTATCAAGTAAGGTTCTTGCGTTGAAAGAAAAAAAATAAAAGATAAAAAAGGGGGGAACAGGTAGAAAATAGCCAATATACAAGTTGGTCAACAAACAGCATTGTTTTAAAAATGTAAGATATGGGTTGATATTTAGGGGCAAGGTGCATGGAGTTAATTAAGTAGTACTTAGTTTTCATCTTAAACTGATTGAGAGAGGTACAGCCTTTGACATAAGTAGGAAGGTCATTCCACATTCTGGGTCCCTTGATTTGTAAGGCATTTCTAGTTTGATTAAGTCGTACTCTTGGAATATCAAATAGGTATTTTCTGCGGTTGGAAGAAAACGTTCACAGAGTGGGGGACTTATTTTATTTTTATAATAATAATAATTAATTAATTATTAAATACAAATAATTAATTAATAATAATAATCATAATAATAAAGAGACTTCTGATTGCGTGAAGTCGTTGTTAGCCCATGGCGTTTCAGAGCAGCCTGCCCATCGCAATTACCCTAAGGTACAGTCCTGCCCGTGTTTTCCCACCACGCTCAGCGTGGTGGGCGCCCTTGTTAGTTAGGGATGTCCCCAGTGATCGGCGTGTGCCCAGCGCCGTGCCCCTTGTCGTGCGTGTTGCGACGCAGTAGCTAGCTGCCTCTCAGGTTTATTTGCCCTCTCTAGGGAGCTAGCCGTGCGGGCTGTCCCTTCACGCCCTATACGTGCCGTGCCCAGGCGTACATGTCGTGCCGCCCTCGTCCTATGGGCGCCAGCTGGGCCATGTGGCGTGCACGTGCGGGCTCCTCTACGCACGTGGGTCAGTCCTACTGGGTTCCTTGCCCTAGGGGGCGCCCCTAGGGGCCCGGAGGTGCACGGCGTGCCCTGGTGCCCGTCAGTTGTATCCAGACCACGGCTGTGTGTGGTCGCAAGGTTGGCGCTCTTGGCGTCCGCTGATTGGTGGGAGGTGGAGTATTGCCCCACACTCTTCGTTTTTGCACGTGGTGATACAGGATATTGTGCATTTGTTCTCGATTATTGACAGCGTCGAAGAAATGGCTGAGGCGGTATGCCTAAGTGGTAGTGAGGAGGACAGACAAGATGATAACAGACCGTTTGAAGTAGTAGTGAACAAAAAGAAACGGAGAAATAATAACAGACAGCGAGACAGTGAGAGTGACGATGAAATTACAAAGAGACCAAAGAATGAGACCCTACTCAGCAAGACTCAAGACAAGCAAGACAAGACAAGAAGGAAGAGGCTGTTGTTCCCTACAACATGCCAATTGAACTTCCACCAAAAGCTAGAGTGGACGGTACGTCTAGCTAAACAATGTTTGGAATACGGACCACTCTTCAAGGAGGGTCTTCACCGGCCCTACATAACAGTTGGGACTGAACAGGCCGTGGAACGCCTCACGACGGTTGGTTTTGAGAATGCAGTGATGGTTCCTCCAGAAGAAGGTATGTTGCACACAAAGATCATAGTTTTCAAGTTTCCAACTTATTTGGATCCTGACTGTCTTCTTCTTAACAATGATAATGTTGTCTGGGCGAAAAGGAACAATGTTCGTGGTGACAAACAAAGCCAGGTTGTTGCCTTGGTAAAGGATGAGGCGCCGGAGAAAATTTTTGTGCAGGGACTAGGCTATAGGAACGTTGTAAAATACGTTGAGGAGCCCATACTGTGCATGAAGTGTTCACGTTGGGGACATATGGCATGGAAATGCCAGTTTGACCCCAGGTGTCGGTATTGTGGGAAAAAAACACGACTCGCGAGAGTGTAGAGTCAAGATTGAAAGAAGTGAAAAAATCATCCCATTTTGTTGCAACTGTCGAGGCAGCCACAATGCTGGTTCCTCTCTATGCCCCATGAAGCCTCATCTGAAAGAGACTAGGACGGGTCCTACAAGCAGGATAGATGTATCCTCGCAGCAAGGAAAGATTGTGCAAGAGGAACATGGAGGAAACAGTTGGAAGCCAACGACAGCCCCTATGATCAATGTGTGGGAAAAAGGGACGGAGAAAGTAAAGGCGAGCTTAGGGAAAGTACATCATGCAGTGGAAAAACTGAAACCTTGTGACGACAAGGTTCAGGACAATATGGTCACCTCTGAGGTTGGTAATCAAATTTTGGAGTATCTAAAAAAACTAGATAAGAGGATTGAGGCATTGGAAAAATTGGCTATGGAAGGTAGACGGGGTGAAGATGGTGGTGAAACAGGACGTGTAATTGAAAGTAAAACGAGGACGTGAAATGGAAAGTGAAACGTGCGTAGAAGAAAGTAATGATGTGCATGAGGTAACGATGATAGAGGATAGTCAGGAGAATACACTTTCTAGTAGTGTTAGCGGTGTTCAACCTCCTGTTGTGACAAATGGTGAAAGAACGGTTAAAGTAAAACGGGTTACAGAAATAACAAAGAAAATAGATATGAATAATATTACCTTCGATGTTAGTAGTAGTTGTGAAAGTGAGGAGAAAGAAAAAATGTTACGGTGTTGGAAGGAAGTTTCTAAGGTACTCTCGTATCTCATGGAATGTGACGGACAGGGCAAAGGTAGTTTTATTATTAATCATGGATGAAAGTAAATTGAGAATATTATCTTGGAACATTAATGGATTAAAAACTAGAGCGGTGGATGTACACTATTATACTCTTAGAGAGGATATTGACATAGTAGCACTCCAGGAAACTGGGGATAGGGATGGTAGCATTCTGAGGCTAAATGGCTATAGAGGTTTTCACTTATATGCTGATGGAGGAACTAGGGGGGTCTCATGTTATGTCAAAAGTACCATACCTGCCGAGATAACTGGAATCCCTCAGAGATATAGAGGTATTGAAAGTATTAGCTTGCGGATACAATTAAAGGACCGAGAGTTAAATTTCATTAATCTATACATCTCTGATAGCTCCCTTGATTTAAGATACTTGCCAGATTCCTTCTTTTCTGAAGATACACTTGTGGTAGGGGATTTTAATGCCAGACATCCAGCTTTAGGATCAAGGGGTAAAGCAAATAGGAATGGTTGCAGATGGTACCAGTTTTTGCAGGAACATGAAGATGTTCAACTGCTGGGCGAGCCCTCTCCTACTCATTTGAGGGGAGGGAGATTAGATTATGCTTGTTTAATAAATGCTGAGGGCATAGAGGGGAATTGTCTTACTGTGGATGAAATGCTAAGTGATCATTTTGCATTACAAATACAGCTTAAACTAGATAAAAAGCATGCCTGCCTTCAGAGGAAAAGGTTAAAGTTTAATGAGGGAGAATTAAGGGGTCTTGTTGGCCATATTAAGTCTTGGTATGATACTTATAAGCCAGTTTCGGCAGAAGCATTTTATGAAGATTTAATTAAGGAGGTAGATGTATTTAATGCAACATTGAACCGGAAACCATCTAGTATAAAAAGGCATCCCCCCAGAAAAGAAAATTATACACATGACAAGATGCTTAAGGGGTGGACATTAACAATGAGGAGAGCTCACAGGGATTGGAATAGGAATGGTAGGACTGAGGAAGGGAAGAATGCTTTACTGGCAGTTGCTAGGCTGTGTGGGGAGAAGAGAAAGGAAATTAGGAGCAAGTATTGGCAGGAATTTGCAGAGAAAGTTGGGAGTAACAGAAACTTGAAGGAAATCTGGCAAGACGTAAATAAAATAAGGGGTAAAAAGCATAATTTTGTTGCACATCCAGACCCGCAAGGAATTGCAAATGGGCTCGTAAATAAATGGGCGGAAGCTGCCAAACTTAGTTCATTACCCGCTGTAACGAGAGAGTCATTAGATTCTTGGAAAGATCTAAGAAAGGATTTTATACTTATAGCAGGTAACAGTGGTGATGTCACTTGCACAGGTATTACCAGAGAAGAACTAATAACGGCGATTAAAGTTGGGAAATCTACCGCCCTGGGGAGGATGGAGTAACTTATGAAATACTTAATGAACTTGCCATTATGACGAAAAGCCCACTTTTAGACCTCTTTAATATTAGTTATAAAGAGGGCAGTATTCCCAGTAAATGGAAAAAAGCTATGATCATCCCTATCCCTAAAGCCAATGGAGAGTATAGACCTGTGTCTTTAACCTCGTGTTTTTGTAAAATGATGGAGAGGATCATTTTAAATAGACTTTTATATATAATAGGTGATCAGCTGTCTAGTAATTTGTTCGGGTTCCTCAAAGGAAAAAGTACCTCTGATTGTATTATTAAATGTCTAGCTAATGAAAATGATTATTATAGAATTTTCATTGATTTACAAGGAGCTTTTGATAAAGCCAACAAAGAGGTTATTTTATATGAATTAGCTGGTCTTGGTGTTAAAGGGAGATTATTGCGCTGGATAGGGGATTATCTTTACGAAAGGAAGGCTCAGGTGTGGTATCAAGGTTGTATGTCAGGTGTG